GGTTTTAAACTGTGTGCGAACGAAATGAATGTAGCTACAACGTCCTACGGTCTGTTTACGAACTTCATGGACTTTCCCGGACGGGGAATTTGATTTAGAATTTTGAATCGATTCAAAATTCGATGGCGACCATACCGTTCTGTAATCAGGTCATCATGACCTTCTAGACTAAGGGACGCGTTATACGACGTTGTACACCGATTTGGTGCGACCTGAACGAACTGCGAATGAGATGGACATATTGAAGACTGATTATGAACGAAGTAGCTAATTATTTTAGGCATATTTCCCGATCACAGCCAGATTGAGCACGTTTTACGGCGTTTTCGTAGGACTGGCAAGAACGGGTAAGAACTAGTTTGGTGTGATAAGGGGGTAAGATACGTAGAGATGCATATTTCTCAGTTTTTTTATCGTTTAGGTGCGGAATATATCACTTTTATGAAAGCCAGCTTTAGCGACAAAGTCAAAATTTTCTTCGCCTCTTCTGTTCTTTCAATATAAGAGGGGCTTCTTGAAAGATAAGTTTGACTTTGAGACCGCCAAAAATCTGCTCTTTATGGAGTTTCTGTTATTCGATTAGTCTAGCTACAAGCCTCTGTAACCCCCTCCCCCAGCCCACCTCCTCTACTTGACTAAACGGCTTCTCACGCAGATTGAAATGGGGAGGGGGAGGGGGTCACAAGCTAGATTATTATTCGAATTACGTTAAACCCGGGCGTTAAGCCCACCATTTTCGAATTCGTTTCACGGGAATGGCGATTTGAAAAAACATCAAAGTCATCGATTTTCCACCTTATTGTAGCCTAATAGAATTTCAAAATTTGGATATGAGTTTTTATCCCATACTTGGACGTGTTATAGGTACATAAAGCCGGTTTGTAAAAACTTATATTTTCATCAGCGGGCAGATATAGCTTTACGTCCCGCTCAGAGCGGGCAGATATAGTATATCTGCCCGCTACGTCATAATCGCCGCTCGCATATTTGTTCATAATTTGTAACGTTCGCGTAATGACTTTTAAAGACAATGGAGAAAACATAGACAATCGGGATCTGTTTGATGGTTTAAAAAAAGGGAAGGAGTATCCACTTAATCAATCAAAAATTCGAGAAAATAAATCTGGGAATATTTGAGAGAACAGGAAAATCCGCCGACGGCCAAGAAAACAAAACTGGACATGAATATTCTAAAATATTTCCACGATTGAACAATGTGAACCAGATGACCAAGATTGGTATGGGATAAACATATTATCCTATAGTCGGTTCGGGATATTGGGATTATCCCTTGGCCAATATAATATATTTTCCCGGCCCTCGGGCAAATATATTATATTGGCCTCGGGATGATCCCAATATCCTGAACCTCATATAGGATAATCTCTATATACTTTCAGATTTAAAATGGTATCGATTGATATTAAACATTACGATGTGTTTGTTGCTTTAAAGGGCTTCGTTGTCATACCAGACTATTTCAAAGATGACATGGACAAACTTGATGCATGCAAGACTGGCTTGGCTGATATAACGGAAACTATAGCACAAAAATTATTCAAGGCGGGGAAAATAAAAGGTAGTTTATTTTCATAGAAATCAAATCGTTCACGATGTAATGTAGTGAAACAATAACCTTCATCATGATTTTGCTTAAAATTGTTTTTAATTGCTACTTTAGCATCCCCTTGAATTGCAGATTTGCACGAAGGTTCTGATTTCTTCCATCGAATGATAGAGATAGATAAGGAATGGCCAGGTGCCGCAGTTCTCCTACACAAGCTCGGTATCCATCCTAAACAATGTCTTGATCTCTGGTCGGACGACAAACTCCTGAATGCCGTCGAGCAGATAATTGGGCCAGATATTGCGGCGCACCCTGTATGGAATATACGACCCAAGGTACCACACGAGGAGCAGCATACTGTACCATGGCATCAAGGTGTTAACATTGATACCAGATATCGCAAAGAATTGAAACAGGTTGACCCAAAGAGCATCTCATTTATTTGACAGAACAGATTTGTGGTTTCTGGTTTTTGGGCCACCCTGCACTACTCCCGTTTATGCCCATCATTGCTTGTCTTGATATTATCTGAATATCTTTATATATCTTGAGACGAGATATCTCGCCAAATTCCCATGTGCTTGCTTACTAAATAACAAGTTCAGTTTGTCGAATTTATGAGGAATTCATTTATAAAAATTAAGTTTCTGTTCAGATGCTGGATACCTGGAGGCCTCTACGTACACAACTATTCAAGTTACTGCCTGGATACCCTTGTTGGACGTGGATGCTAATAACGGATGTTTGGAGGTATTTCAAAAACGAAAATACACATTTTTGCGCATATAATTGAATTATTCAACGTATACGCAGTACCTTCAAAGTCGCACGTTACTGATCAACTCATCAGTCAATTTTATCGTAAAAACTAGGTCAACCAGCCATTTTTGACGTTTTAGGACAGTTTTGTTATCAAAAATGATATCCTTGCGCAATGTTGTATTGTCGGGTTTATCTGTACGATCATCTTAACAACACTTATCACAACCTTGACTTTGATTACCTTTGGCACACGGAGATTACGATAATGCACGGACTGGAATTGTGCAATATCAGGGAATGGTCCGTTTGTGTTGTAAATTTTTATTTTAAATCCGGGTAACTTTCTTTCTTAAAAACGATGATGTTCAAAAGCTATGACGAATCTCGTGTTTTGACGCTGCTCTAAAAATTGGGATTTATCCATTGGCATTTTGTCTTGTCAGAGGAACCTTAGATTCTCTTTATTTTATTATTAAGATTACATCGAGACATTTTTCTCGAATCTGTGGTTTTAATCATGAAATGCATTGAATTACAGTGGCTACTGTACAAGTGAACACTAAGCTGCTTTCTGATTTATCAGAGTCTCACTTTAACACTTCGGTGTGTGAATAACGCAGATGCGAGTAGGTAGTTACCAGTTTGACCACCAGGTGGCTCGTTCGGGTCAGATAGCATGGCGGGTATAGGAGAAAGTTCCCTTTAACTTAAATTACATCTATTTAGTGGTTCAATTTTCATATAATCCTTGTGTATCTAATAGTTATGCAAATTAAAATATGTCCAGTAAGATATTTCACTTTTTGTGATTTTGTATGGGGAATCAACCCGAACGAGAAGTCATATTTTCAAAAATAATTAAATTTTCAAAGTTGATAAACTATTTTCGAAACCATATTTCTAGATGTACTTTTACATGTAGAATTCAAATGTGACATCACTTTGACTGAATTTTGAATATGTAATGACGTAAATCAAGATCATTTCTACTCGCATCTAGTCTATTCTAAAAGGATAATACTTGCAGTGGATCCCACAATGCTAAGATGTATTTCCCTACCTTCAATTTAAAATCAAAACTCCTGATAATGACGGCACCGAGTTGAGTATATGAAATACGACTGTATTATTGTTATTCAGGTTCCATCAAAAGATTCAGATATTGTCTCAAAAGTGAGCCATATTTAGCAGCCAACAATAGGAATAAAAGACAAGTTCGTACTTCTCTTTTGTTGTTTTCAGATCCGATAATTCTGGAATCATTTAGAGGCGGATTAAGACTAAAAATAAGCATGGGCGTCAGACTATACAAATGAGTAGAATCTTTAAGTGTCGTTTTCAGCATGTCATATTCCAGTTTCGTTAAAACAGTTGTTCATGATTAAATTCTATTGTCCAAACAATAGGTTCATTTAAAAAGTATATCGATCTATCAAGAAAGGGATTGACAATTTGGAGATTAGACACCAGTCTAGTCGAGACAATCACAGAGAAAGTACTTAAACAATAGTTCTCCAATATCTAGTTTTAGCTACTACTAATTACGCTGTAAGGCTTTAGTGCTCGATTTAGTTTTAGTGAAATAAACTAATCATTACTCAATGGAATTATTCGTTAAGCTATGTGGGTTTCTTTTACATTGTATTGTTTAATTTGTTCTTTCGAAATGTATTGTTTACGACTTAGTATAAAACTCAATCTTACCTTACAAAGTTCATTGTATGCAGCTTAAAATGAGACGCAAGTCTTCTTTTTTCACTGCTCATGACAAATGAAAAAGAATTAATCTTGTAAACATTTCAAAAGACTTGGGCATTCTCACCTTGAATCTGAGACACCCGAGTTACCTCTGATGCGTTTTAGCGATGAATGCGTAATTAATTGATTTGCGTTGGCAACGGCCGGACAAACCCTATGGTCTATATGGACTAAAGGAAGGGACCATATTGAGATCTTCTACTGACCCAGAACTCGTTCCAGACTGGACTCAGTTCATCGGAGTGGATCGAACTCAGAAACAGAATGAAGCCACAATGCGAGATGCAAGTATTTTTCAAAGTCAATCACTTTTAAGTTTTAGTATGTTTCATTTGGGTACTTTATGGTTGTTTTTGAACAAGATCGATTGATCAAGAAAGATCAAATAAAAAGCATCTCAATTGATTAGAATTTGAATAATTAAAAATACTTTAACTGTGTTGTAATAGCGTAAAAAGTCCCGGGAAATTAAACATCTACAAGAGCATAAGAGGGCACTGAATGAAATCTCGGAAATTAGAAATTCATGAATATGTATACGGTTCATTTTCACTAATGCAGTATTTACATATACATTTAGGACGAAGCCACAAAGGATGAGTTTGACACGAGAATTTCCGGGCCGTGGATGAAGAAGTGGCCAATGACGCACCAAAACAGACACACAAGTGCTTTGGTGATGTAAATGCAACAAATGCCAATATGACAGTAAACAAAACGAGAGACTTGCTAAAAACTCGACAAGCTCTGACATTACGCGTTTGTATGCAAAAATGAAGCAACATTTATGCAAAACAATCAGATGTTTTACAAATTGATTTATTTAAAACACTACTTGAATTGCAATAGAGTTAACAAAATAAACAGGAATGATTCAGTAGATATGCTTTACAAATAAAGTTATTGAATACCTTCCCACTTCCAAAAATAGAAATCAAAATATATTATGACATATTTCATCTGTATTCATTCACTGACATAACACCAACACAAGTTCTAAGTTACAATATAGTAACAAACCGTGTTTGGCGGTGTGTGTGGTAATGAAGGAGGTACACTCGAGATACTGACAATGCTTGTTTCAAAACTCGACACCCAAAGGCATTAAAAGATGATTTGTCGAGATTAATTGGTTTTTCAATGAAGTATTTCAAGATCGTTAATGCCTTGGTCACATTTGCCCCGATCCATCGGCCGGCGCCCGCTCGATTGAGTGTTTTGTTCAATATTGTATTCAATTTTGAACAAAATACTCAATCGGCCGGGCGCCGTAGAGAAAATTGGAGCAAATGTGACCAAGGCATAAGTTGGGGAAATAGAAGCTCCCTGTTTGATTTCACAGACCACTAGGTACATGTGAAATTGTTGTGTTGGTCAGTATATTTGGTGGAGGAGGAGCTAATGGTGTTGTTTGCGTTAAATAGTGAAACAAATGAAACTTCGATGAGGACATTTTCTGCTGGTCAGCTGAAGAGAAATCATGCGAAGACTGAGTTTTAGATGAAGAAAGTGTTGGTTTTGAAGTGGAATGTGTTGGTTGATTTGAATTAAGAATTGGTGCTGGAGGAATGATTGTTGCTTTGGATGTTTGCCATAAATAAGGGAAAATAAACATTGTGGTTAATCGATCTGAAGAGGACTGTATTGTAGGTGATGGTGATGTAAAAGTAGAAGAATGTGTTGAAGATTGAGTTGATGAAAAGGTAGAAGTATGTGCTGAAGATTGAATTGATGAAATAGTGGAAGTTTGTGTTGAAGAAAGAGTTGATGAAATAGTGGAAGTATGTGTCAAAGATGGACTTGATATAGTGGAAGTATGTCTTGAAGATAGAGTTGATGTAAAAGTGGAAGTATGTGTTAAAGATGGAGTTGATATAGTGGAAGTATGTATTGAAGATAGGGTTGATGTAATAGTGGAAGAATGTGTTAAAGATGGAGTTGATGTGATAATGGAAGCATGTGTTAAAGATGAAGTTGATGTAATAGTGGAAGCATGAATTAAAGAAGGAGTTGATGAAATAGTGGAAGTATGTGTTGAAGATAGAGTTGATATAGAGGAATTATGTTTTAAAGATGGAGTTGATATAGTGGAAGTATGTGTTGAAGATAGAGTTGATGTAATAGTGGAAGTATGTGTTAAAGATGGAGTTGATGTAATAATGGAAGCATGTGTTAAAGATTTGATTGATGTAATTGTGGAAGCATGAATTAAAGAAGGAGTTGATGAAATAGTGGAAGTATGTGTTGAAGATAGAGTTGATATAGAGGAAGTATGTTTTAAAGATGGAGTTGATAAAGTGGAAGTATGTGTTGAAGATAGAGTTGATGTAATAGTGGAAGTATGTGTTAAAGATGGGATTGATGAAATAGTGGAAATATGTGTTAAAGATGGAGTTGATGAACTAGTAGAAGTATGTGTTAAAGATGGACTTGATATAGTGGAAGTATGTGTTGAAGATAGAGTTGATGAACGAGTAGAAGTATGTGTTAAAGATGGACTTGATATGGTGGGAGTATGTGTTGAAGATAGAGTTGATATAGAGGAAGTATGTGTTAAAGATGGAGTTGATGTAATAGTGGAAGCATGTGTTAAAGATGGCCATGGATTTGATGTTATAGTGGAAGTATGTGTTAAAGATGGAGTGGATGTAATAGTGGAAGAATATGTTGAAGATGGAGTTGATGTAATAGTGGAAGCATGTGTTAAAGATGGCCATGGATTTGATGTTATAGTGGAAGTATGTGTTAAAGATGGAGTGGATGTAATAGTGGAAGAATATGTTGAAGATGGAGTTGATGTTATAATGGAAGTATGAGTTAAAAAAGGAGTTGATGTTGTAGTGGAAGTATGTGTTATAGATGGAGTTGATGTTATAGTGGAAGTATGTTTTAAAGATGGAGTGGATGTAATAGTGGACAAATATGTTGAAGATGGAGTGGATGTAATAGTGGAAGTATATGTTGAAGATGGAGTTGATGTTATAGTAGAGGTGTGTGCTGTTGCTGGAGTCTGTAATATATTAGACTTATTCATTGTATATTGCGTTGATGAAATAGTAGAAATATGTGTTGTAGAAAGAGTTGATGAAATAATTGAAGTATGTGTAACAGATAGAGTTGATGAAATAAAAGAAATGTGTGTTCTAGTTTGATTTGATGAAATTGTAGAAATGTTTGTTGTAGTTGGCGTTGATGAAATAAGGGAAGTATGTGTTGTAGCTGGAGTAGATGAAATAGTAGAAGTGTGAGTTGTCGCAGGATTTGATGAAATTGTAGAAATGTCTGTTGTAGTTGGCGTTGACGAAACAGGGGGAGTATGTATTGTAGATGGAATTGGTGAAAAAGTAGAAGTATGTGTAACTGGAGTTGACAATATAGTATAATTATTTGTTGTAGATTGTGTTGAAGAAATAGTAGAAGTGTGTGCTATAGTTGGCATTGAGACAATAGTAGAAATGTCTGTTGTAGTTGGCGTTGATGAAATGGTAGAACTATGTGTTGTAGCTGGAGTTGATGAAATAGTAGAAGTGTGAGTTGTCACAGGATTTGATGAAATTGTAGAAATGTCTGTTGTAGTTGGCGTTGATGAAATAAGGGAAGTATGTGTTGTAGCTGGAGTAGATGAAATAGTAGAAGTGTGAGTTGTCACAGGATTTGATGAAATTGTAGAAATGTTTGTTGTAGTTGGCGTTGATGAAATAAGGGAAGTATGTGTTGTAGCTGGAGTAGATGAAATAGTAGAAGTGTGAGTTGTCACAGGATTTGATGAAATTGTAGAAATGTCTGTTGTAGTTGGCGTTGATGAAACAGTTGAACTATGTGTTGTAGCTGGAGTTGATGAAATTGTAGAAGTGTGAGTTGTCACAGGATTTGATGAAATTGTAGAAATGTTTGTTGTAGTTGGCGTTGATGAAATAAGGGAAGTATGTGTTGTAGCTGGAGTAGATGAAATAGTAGAAGTGTGAGTTGTCACAGGATTTGATGAAATTGTAGAAATGTTTGTTGTAGTTGGCGTTGATGAAATAAGGGAAGTATGTGTTGTAGCTGGAGTTGATGAAATAGTAGAAATGTCCATTGTAGTTGGCGTTGATGAAATAGGGGAAGTATGTATTGTAGATGAATTTGGTGAAAGAGTAGAAGTGTGTGTTGTAGCTGGAGTTGATGACATAGAAGAAATGAGTGTTGCGGATGGATTTGATGAAGTTGTAGAAATGTCTGTTGTAAGTAGAGTTGATGAAATAGTGTTTGTTTTAGTTGGTGTTGGTGAAATAGTGGAAGTATGTGTTGGGGAATGAGTTGAAGACATCATGGAAGTGTTTGTTGTAGGTGGCCTTGATAAAATAGTGGACGTAAGGGTTGTAAAATGAGTTGATGAAGTAGAAGAATGATGTGCTGTAGATGGAGTTGGTGAAATAATCGAAGTTTGTGTTTTAGATTGTTTTTTTGAATTAATGGAAGTCTGTGTTGAAGATGGAGTGGATGAAAAAGTGGAAGTGTGTGTTGTAGCTAGAGTTGGTGAAATAGTTGAAATAATTGTTGAAGATGGCGTTGATGAAATTATGGACGTATATATTATAGATTGAGTCGATGAAATGGTGGAAGTATCTGTTGTAGATGGCGTTGATGAAATAATGGACGTATATATTGTAGATGGAGTCGATGAAATAATGGAAGTGTGTGTTTTAGAAGTTGTAACAGCGGAAGTTGTTGATGAAGATTGAGAGAAAGTATAAGTCGAAGTATGTTTTGTAGATGGATTTGATGAAAGAGAAGTTTGTGTTATGTATGACGTTGTTGAAATTGTGGAGGTTTGCGTTGAAGATGGTTCTGATGAAATTGTTGGAGTATGTGCTGTAAAAAGAGTTGATGTATTGGTGGAAGTATGATTAGAAGATGAAGTTGATGAAATTGAGGATGTTTGTGCTGTAAGCGGTGTTGATTTTGTAGATGATGTTGATGAAATCATCGAAGTATGTTTTGTAGATTGAGTTGATGAAATAGTGGAAGTATTTGTTGTAGCTGGCGTTGACAAGTGAATAGAAGTATATGTTTCAGATGTTGTAGATGAAACAGTGGATGTATGTGATTTAGATGCCGGAGATGAAACAGTGGATGTATGTGATTTAGATGCCGAAAGTGAAATAATAGAACCAGTTGCTGTAAATGGAGTTGATGAAATAATGGAAGTTCGGGTTAAAGATGGCGTGGATGAAAAAGTGAACGTTTGTGTTCTAGATGGTGATGAAATAGTGGAAGTAAGTGTTGTGGAAGGAGTTGGTGAAATAGTGGAAGTAAGGGTTGTAGGTGGTGTTGATGAAGTAGTTGAAGTATGAGTTGAAGATGATGTTGATGAAACAATGGAAGTAAGTGTTGTGGAAGGAATTGGTAAAATAATGGAAGATTGTGTTGTAGGTGGTGTTGATGAAGTAGATGAAGTATGTGTTAAGGATGGTGTTGATGAAACAGTGGAAGTAAGTCTTGAAGAAGGAGTTGGTGAAATAATGGAAGATTGTGTTGTAGGTGGTGTTGATGAAGTAGCTGAAGTATGTGTTGAAGATGATGTTGATGAAACAATGGAAGTAAGTGTTGTGGAAGGAATTGGTAAAATAGTGGAAGATTGTGTTGTAGGTGGTGTTGATGAAGTAGTTGAAGTATGTGTTAAAGATGGTGTTGATGAAACAGTGGAAGTAAGTCTTGAAGAAGGAGTTGGTGAAATAGTGGAAGATTGTGTTGTAGGTGGTGTTGATGAAGTAGTTGAAGTAAGTTTAGTTGAAGGAGTTGGTGAAAAAGTGGAAGATTGTGTTGAAGATGGTGTTGATGAAGTAGTTGAAGTAAGTTTTGTTGAAGGAGTTGGTGAAAAAGTGGAAGATTGTGTTGTAGGTGGTGTTGATGAAGTAGCTGAAGTAAGTTTTGTTGAAGGAGTTGGTGAAAAAGTGGAAGATTGTGTTGTAGGTGGTGTTGATGAAGTAGTTGAAGTAAGTTTTGTAGAAAGAGTTGGTGAAATAGTGGAAGATTGTGTTGTAGGTGGTGTTGATGAAGTAGCTGAAGTAAGTTTTGTTGAAGGAGTTGGTGAAAAAGTGGAAGATTGTGTTGTAGGTGGTGTTGATGAAGTAGTGGAAGTAAGTGTTGTAGAAGGAGTTGGTGAAATAGTGGAAGATTGTGTTGTAGGTGGTGTTGATGAAGTAGTTGAAGTATGTGTTGAAGATGATGTTGATGAAACAATGGAAGTAAGTGTTGTGGAAGGAATTGGTAAAATAGTGGGAGATTGTGTTGTAGGTGGTGTTGATGAAGTAGTTGAAGTAAGTTTTGTTGAAGGAGTTGGTGAAAAAGTGGAAGATTGTGTTGTAGGTGGTGTTGATGAAGTAGTTGAAGTAAGTGTTGAAGATGCTGTTGATGAAATCGTAGAAGTATGCGTTGTAAAAAGTGTTGATGTATTAGTGGAAGTCTGCACTGTAGATGGAGTTGTTGGAATTGAGGATGCTTGTGTTGTATATGGCGTTGACGAAGATGTTGTAGATGATGCTGATGAAATCATCGAAGAATATCGTTTTGAAGATGGCGTTGGTGAAATAGTGGAAGTACGTATTATAGATTGTGTTTGTGATGTAGAGGGAGTTGATGAAATATTAGAAACATGTTTTGCGAATGCAGTTGATAAAATAATTGAAGTATTTGTCGTAGATGACGTTGATGAAAGAATGGAAGTATATAGTTTAGATGTCGTAGGTGAAACAGTGGATATATGTGATTTAGATGTCGGAGATGAAATAATGGAAGAAATTGTTATAGATGGCGTTGGTGAAATAGTGGACGTGGATGTTGTAGTTGATGTTGATGCAATCGCGAAAGATTGTACTGTAGATGGCATTGATAAAACAGAAGAAGTAAGTGTTGTTGATGGCATTGGTGAAATTGAAGGGCTCTGCGTAATTGACTGAGTTGATGGAACAGTTGAAAAATATGTTGTAGGTGAAATACTTGGAACATATTCTATATATGGAGTTATTGAAATAGTTGATGTGGTGGTTGGATTTATATTGAGTTTAGATTTATTTTCAAATGTAGTTGAGAGGGGCAGAACTTTGGTTGAAATGGTAGTTCGAAACTTAGAAGTTGCATGAGAAGAATGGAAGGAATGAACTATCGTAGAAGTATGAGGCTCTCTTGAACTTTCAAGTTCAAACTTATTGAATGAATTAATGATATTAAAATGCTTTGTTTGACTTTTTCCTGATAACTGACTGTCATTTGAAAATGTAAATGTTATCAGTGATTTTTCTTCCTCGGGAATGAATGATGAAAGACCTCCTGAAATATGTAAACCTAGAGTTATAGTGGTAGTCCTATATGAAGGATTTGGAGAAGACATGGTTAATTTCATACTTCTGATGTTCTGTTGTCGATGTTGAATAAGTAAAATACATGGATTATCAATTGATATATTGTAAGACAAATGTGGATGAGCAATTGAAAATTGTCCGATGAATACGACCATTGAGAGAATTTTGAGTGTTTTATGGTACACAATATGCACATGCTCGTCATGCTGTATAATAATGGCAGCTGGATCATTAAAATGGTCATCTAAATGCCCAATGGTAATATTTGGATATACAATGTAGGCATACGGCTCAGCTCCATGCTTAATCCACATTGTTGTGACATTTAGCAACTTGCTATTTGATGATTTTTCAGTGGATTCAATACTTGTATTTGCACCCATAGGGAACACGTACCCTATGTTGGCATGGTGAATCCACCTTGTCTGGACGAGCTCCGATGTTGTGTTCCAATCTACATACTGATGTAACGATTTTGCAGTTGAATAGCCAATGGGTCCATATCGTACTATTTGATTCAGCGTAGTGATTATATTTGACGTGTCGAATCTTTCACCAGACCGCATGGAAATATCGCTACCCATACATACAATTTCGTTGTCAAAGAAAAACCATGTTTTCTTCATGGTAAATTTGACAGTTGGACGATCGTAGACCATAGCGGCAGCACCGTACATTCCATCTGATGCACTCCCAACGAAATCAGCATTGCTGATATGATGGAGAAAGTTTGGAGTTCCGACTCTCTCCATACCTTCTTGAGGTACATTTCCACTGTACAGAACTGTCGTACCTGAATTCACATAATCATTAATATATGCATGATTGCAATACATTGTTTTAAGCTCCTTTGGTCACGTTATGTGTAAATAGTACTCTATGGATAAACCTAATTTTCTTTCAAGGGCTTGCAAGGTGGCGCTGTCAGCACTAGGCATATACCACACAAACACAATAAATTATTTGATATTGCATCGCTCCTGGCTTACCTGGAATTTTTTCCCAATCATAATATTGAAACACCTCGTTGTATCGCTTTCCAAACTCGTTGTCGTTCTGTAGCACTGATACGAAACCATCCCCAGTGTAATATCTGTAACATATATATTTGTCATGGGGTCATGGAAATTCTCAAGCTTGCTTGACTTGGCGTTTGCCTTTCCTTTTGTTCTTCAACAATTCTATGTTTCTCTTAGTCCACATTTTATTATCTCGGAGCATGTACATTATCTTTGCACATAATTCTCTCAATATCAAATGGAATTTTCAAAATTTGCTCGCTTTCTGTTCTTTATAATGGACCGATGAAACAAACTGATAAAACGATGTAGGACATGCATGAATGATTGAATATACTATTTTAGTAGATCATTTAAACAAAGTGACGCCATTCGTCCATAAACTGAAATCTTAAAAACGTAAAAGAACGAAGCAGTAACCGTGGCACAGTACAATATAGAATGCTCTTCAACAGCCTGCATTAAAACCTGTTTAACCCGAACGCCATTTGCACGGACCAACATTGGATAGTATTGAGCATGACGACGTACCCATTTGGATTATTAGTCCTGCGCCCAATCCAAGTTTCTGGTCTAACTGTTCTGGACGAAAACATTCGGACACTTGCCATGTAGCCTATTCTATGGTGGACTATCATATCCGAGGCAAATAACGCCCTATTCCCAACGAGGGCAGTTTTCTCGTTAGGTCCATGGTTTAGAAACCTTGAAATCGCATTATCTAGTTCCTTCGTACGATACCCCAACTGCAATAGTGCGCTGGCGACCTATGATATGAAAAATATTGTTTGAAAAGCATATATTATACATACAGTGCATTTTATATACATTACTTCCTGGCTGTTATACCAGAAATCGTTCATTTTATTTCGTTTGTTAATGATTCATTTGCAATGAAGATGGGGTGAAAATACCCTGCTCAAGTACTGAACGTAGAGATGACACGCTAAATGAAGTAAAGATTCAGGCTAGGCTAATACACGTGGGCTTTGCCGAAGCTTTTGTTGGAAAAATCTAAAATAGTTTTCGGAAACTTTGGTTAAGCACTTTATAGGTACGCTGGTTACAGATACCAATGATGAAATGATGAAATGTTCCAATGTATATGAATGGATATTTGAATTAAGGCTTATCTGGTATGTTCATGTTAACGTAATGGTATGTTATACAGTTTAAAACATACTTTGTAAATCGAATTGTATGCTGCCCAAAATGTCACTTTCTGATTGTCATCAATATTCCGCCCAACTGAGGTCGGCTCAAAGGTCCTGCCGCGGCACAAGTACTGATGACATTCCAAAAACATGTTGAAGAACTCAGACAATACAATCTCGCCAACCTGTAAAACAATATAAATGATTTCTAAATGTTGCACTCGATGTGCTGGTAATATCGGTATTGAGCATTCTCCCTCTCTGGGATGGGGAGGGAAATCCCATGTACAAGGGTTTATGCAACCAGTGCTTGAAATATCAGAGATGATAAAAGGTAATAATATGGATCTAAATGAAACGTTTTGGTAATTTACTCTTCTGCTTCTAGTATAGTAACATAGCGATGCCACGGGAAGTATGGGTCATAAAGTTATGTTTCCATGACAATAAAACAATGATGAGGAAGCGATAACGGGGCTCGATGTTACCACAAACTCTAATAATTGATAGGCGGTGGCGCGCAAGCAGAAGTAACAAATGACATCATTTAAAAAGAGGGACCGGACAAATCTTTTGTCGGTTGTTTTCTTATTTGTTAAAACTCAGAGTCAATGTTTCTCCTGTCAGCTTTCTGCCAATTAAACTGTTAATAAATCAACGTCCCTGGGTCACAGCATCATAAATGCTAATTAAAGCGTTCACAGATAGCCTATATAATATATTGAGAAATGGGTGAGATGTACTCTCTTCCATAATTTGATCACCCTATCTGCCCCTTGAACTTATTTTGAAACATTTGTTATTCAAATTCGTATCTACGTAACATGAGATGACTCAAAGGGCTGGTAGTTAATTCTTTCTTTATAACGTTATTCAAACTTATAAAGCATAGAAATATTGGTAAACTTGGAACCTCAATCACGTGAGAGAATGTGACGCTGTCACTTTTTGAGCATACCTGAAATGTCGTGTTTTGGAAAAGGATGATTATTTGGGCAAATCTCTTGAGATATTCCCCGCCATATCCACCATTGTATATCATCAGGCGTAAATGTGAGTTATAATATGGCGCCTCCCATAATCCAACATGCATGTTGTGAACATGAATACAGTAGTCCGCGCCTACGCCCTCACCTACGTAGAAATGACACTAAAAAGAATGAAATCATCAAAGGAGAATGCTTTGGTATGATTGCGTCTTATTTGAACATGGTTCGATATGTGATATACATGTATCTTGAAAACTGAGCTCGTGAACTTATCAGAATATGGCATAAAACTTAGAGGGTTGGATTGCATGCGATTACATGTAATTAAACCCCACATAGGTAGCAACACAATAGAATGATGTGTATTTTATTTTGAGGAATATACAATTGCAACAAAAAAGAGTGCATTCTTTGAATTTGTTTTTAAAGAATTGATACTTCACAAACTATCAAAAAACCAATGTGGCACAACAAATAGTTGACTGTCACACGCTGTGCACTAAAGCTGACCTAATTACACCCTATTCACTCAATAATAGCTGAATAATAAACACAAAGAGAATAATTTTTTAACTGTACCCGGCCTGTTACATGCAGTCTACTGAAGCTGGACTAATTACACCCACTCACTTGTCAATGCACTTACTTCATAGTCAATAGAAAGGAAATCAATTTTTCCTAAAAATGAATCGTGGGCCGTTTACCTTTCATAAGAGTCAGTGTAGGGTTTAAGTGAGATAAAACATTCGCACTTGGTCTTAGGAGAACTAGAGAATAACGTATCATTCCTTAATTACCCAGTACTCAAACTTTATCCATAACATAATATTTGACTTTATAACAAAAATTGATTGTATTGATAGTCTAAAAAACTTGATATCGATAGCATGTGGACAGTTTTAATTGTGATGACAAAAGTACTAACATTAAAATGCTGACAATAATTGTGATGCATTCAGTGATAATGCATACACTTATACAATGGATGCCATGCATGATAATTAAATCATATAATAATATCAAACCTTGATATGAGCTCTTGTTTACGATTTCCTCTCCCAGGAGCTCCATCACCTCAGTTTTTCTCTCGATGAACTTTTTCTCGTTTTGATGATACATCTCAAACAATCCCTGAAAAGCTCTGTTGGCCAAATTAGACGCCGACATTTTCCCGTCTTTGCGTGCGTAATCCCAAACTTTAACACGTGTCCAATACCTTTCAATCAAGTCATTGTACAACTTTTCTGGGATGAACTCTTTGGAGAGAAAGAGACCAGGCCACAGGGACCTTGGGGTCGCGATCTGTACTCCCCACCAGTTCCAGTCTTTGTTTTCAGGTGCATCATAAGCAAGATATTCCCACGACTTTATGATCCATCTCTTTGTGGTTGTGTTTTGCCAGAAATAGTTCAATGGGCGTCTTATGTTATAGGCCTGTAGAAGCCTCGCCAATCTCTCTCCGTGCGAACAGAACGGCGTCGACCCGGCGTGTTTATTGTCCCTGTATTTTATATCAGAAAAACTACCATCCAAATTAACCGTTCTTAAATTAACAGACTGCATAGATTTCGAAATGGCATGTGTTTCACCAGCATAATCGCTAGGCATTGCCGATGCCCTGAATTTGGCACCAAGCACTGTTTGATGATAATTCTCAGCCACAGTACCAGCATTCATTATCATCACCAAAGTGAAAACAATTCTTAAACGGTCGTGGAATGTCATCCCAACTTACCAGACTTTATGTACTTTTATTTAAATATAAAATCTTTACGATTTTCAATGCAGTTTTTATCGACATAACTAAATGTAAAAGTAACTTTTATAGTCAATTTTCTATATCTTTTCAACAGAATTTTAGCATACTACACATGAATCACTGATACTCAATACAACTAATGATTCGATGGGATTTTGACCTAAACAAACATTTTTCTGTTTGTGCTTGCTTGTATATCATATCGTCACGTACTTAGTGAATGCACTCAGTAAACGTTGGATATTTACTTCTCAATAGCAAGGCTAACGTTAAAAACAAAACATCTATAGAATGGTAATCGTATCGTGCTGTGACACACACGTCAAGCACCTTACTTTCTTCTTGGCTTTAATGATTATTTTTTCAATACTTTCATTATGTCCCCTGGGTGTCATAACCTAGAACACGAGGTAGACGAGGCTCTCTTTTAAATAATATCAAACTGTTGGAAACTGTATTCAATGCGTCACGATGGGAGGTGCAGCTACTGGTGTGACACGTGAAAAGAGTAGAGAGTACAGTTGTACAATTCTCGTACTTTATTTAATAAAAGATAGAATGTAATATCGAAAAGTGTACACCTCCAAATGTCACAACGTTGTGTAAAGAAAAACTTTCTAATGTAAAGTGATTTTCTGTTTGAGGTACCTAGGCGCACTAGAGGTACAAGCATTTAAAGTGAAAATGAGAACTTTCTAAAAAGAACTCACTGACATCTTTATAAGTAATCAATTATATGAAATGGTTGTGATATTACACGCAGAACTCATTGGAAGTGTTGAGATACATATTAATATGCGACACATCCTACAACCCCTGAATACAATAACTTGCCATTTTGCCTTTTTCATAATGGTTTACTGTTATATATAATGTTTTCAGCGCTCAGTTTATACATATAATGGACATATAATGGACAACAGAAACGGGAATAACAGTTATTTAACACCATCAGTCTAGAAAATCTACGGTCGTCTCTCTGTCTCTGTACGGCGTATCCGTAGGCCGTAGAGTCGCCACAGGAATTAGACTCGAAGTTTTAAGGTAGAAGTAAACGTAACAAGCTTTAGACAAACCAAAGAAACGTTCCAAGATGACCGTACGTCAAAATACGCCGTACGTCTTCCGTAGCAAATGTGACTGCCAAAGTAGTTCGATGGCAGTATAATAGCTGGATAACCAAAGTTTGAAGTTTTTTTTTATTGCAAATCAAACTGGAATGCAAGTATGAGAATAACTATTGGCCGTAGAAATAAAAGACCGTACTCTCGCCGTTGCAAATGTGACCGAGGCGCAATGTTGCTATGCGCGATTTACGTCGATCAACTAGTTTGTTTCATCAGTTTAGCATTTTCAATACTAAATTTGTGTTTGAGCCATGCTGATAGCCAGATAAATTAAATGCAATTCTTGCGGTAGTTCAATGGAGTTCGAATCAATTGAGGAATACGAATGATAGAGTGCTGTATCATCGGCATACAGAAAGCAAAAGAAATTTAGATCATCTGGCAAATCGTTAATATAAATCAAAAACAATAACGGCCCAAGAATTGAACCCTGTAGGACACCTGCATTAATTTGACCAGGAAGTGAGATCTGAGATAGCATTCCATTCATTGTAACTTCAATTCTTATATTTGTCAGATATATGGTAATGAAGTCAAGTATTGACTGTGCAAGTCCATATCGTGATAATTTGTGAAAAAGTTAAGCCGTTGTCATCTAACCAACAAGACACATTGAGTTATCAATATATAATTATCAATGTTGTTTTCGAGAATTAAAACTCGGTTAATGAGATCGATTACTGGACCAGTGACGTCAAGGTTCATTTGGATCTCTCCTTGTTTGACCCACCTCGTTAACTACTCGTGCGAGAATTTTGCTTTCATTCGAATAGTCAAAATATTGAGTGAAACACTGAATGATAGTCGCTCATATAAAACTTTAAAGGTTTTTTTTTCTATCTGAAGCTTTGCAGTATACGTAGCAAAATTGATATTAGAAAGCAAAGTTATGTATCTGAAATCAATCTTAACGTTTTTAGTTATAATAGTACCGCTGGACACCAAAATTTACCTGAACCACATGGCATCGTTGTTTTTACCTTATGAGCACGGCCCTTTGAAGTTTTCATTAGAAAAAGAATCAGCAGAAAAAGGAGAGGTAGACAATGCTAGAGGCTTGTTTTATACAGTTGGTAAGTTATCCTTCCTTAAATTGAATAAGATACTAATGATTCAACATTAGAGGTCTTATATATGGGACTTCTTATATAACTTTACATACTTTGTAAATTAAAAAAAGTATATGGTGCTTTCTCTGTATTATCATACCAAACTTTCAAGCATAACCTATATGTAAACTTTGAGCAAATTGTGAAAACGAGTTTACTTAATAGAAAGAGTTGAATAGAGAGACTCACAAAATCATTACTTTTTACATCCGTTAGAAATGAGGTTTAAAAAGATTTCAGTATTTTTCTATTTTTTCACTTCATTCCAGGTGGTGATTTTATTCACGTTGTTGACATAAGAGATCCAAGATCCCCCCAGATATTGTTTTACATGAAAAAAGCGAACGCCGGTTTTACAGACGTAGGTGTTTGCGGGGATTACGTTGTAGCGACAAGCGACAATGCCACGCATCCTCTTAATGGCCGACTTTATATCTTCTTAGCGTATGATTTTGACACTCAGAGTTTGGAATTGGTTAATACATTGACAGGTACATGTATACGGATAGAACTTACACAGTTTGTGGCAAGTGATCTACCAATTGACCTTTATTGACCCGAATGACTTTAACAAGGCTTTTTGTAATAACAAAGTACTTCAAAGAATTATACTGTCCCTCAGTTAACTAAAATTATTTTAATTTTATGGTCTAAACCACATTTGGAATAATTTTACTAATTTTCAAATTTTGCTCGACGATAAAATTAGCAAATATTTTCAGTTGGATCACTTCCCGACATGGTGGCGTTTACAAGTGATTGTAAGAAGGCTGTTATCGCCATCGAGGGAGAGAGGCGAGAGATAAACGGACAAGCCGTGGATCCTGAGGGAGAGATAGCAATCGTTGAATTCATCCCTGGACTCCCGCTGTCTTTTAAAATTACAAATTTGAATTTTAAAGCCTTCAATTCAATGTAAGTGAAGTTGTGCTAAATAAGTGTAAATCAAAGTTGTTTTAACAGAAAATTGCACACAGAATACAAAGATGCGACGAGATTTCAAAGCTATTTCGCAAATCCTCCAGCAAACATATTTCATGTATTAATTTTTCAATATTTTTTTAAAAACATTAGTGATTTAGCTAATATTTTCTAGAACGTGACCCAAATGACTCAAAATATTTAAATGATGTGTTTAGGGCGGCAGCTTACATGAGGAGGGGTGTCCGAAAGATTTTCCCAAACAATACATTCTCAGAGGACTTGGAACCAGAGTATGTGACCATTAGCGATGATGACAGGACTGCTTATGTTGTTCTTCAGGTTTGTACAGGAAATACGTCATCAATGCCGCTTGTGTTGTGTATGTATTTATAAATTATTTCCACTTGACACATTTCAACTGAATGAAAGTGTCGCTCTGTGAACATTCTGATTAAAAAACCTATTCACTAAAATTCACTTTTTACAGGGTGTCCCAAAGTATGGGACCCCCACCTCTAGGCAGACATACCCAATGCCTCCATAGTGTGTGTTATAGATCACTTTAAAGCTTTTCCAAAGTTACATTGATTTACATAGTGTTTGGCCAAAATTAAAGTTCAGTTCAGCATCCTGGAAACAGCTTTGAGCTGAACGTGAGCGAAAATATGTCTGTTGTCGTCAAAGAGAGGATGGATAGTGAGTTGGAAAAGATGACGATGAACGCAAATACTCCGAGGAAACTCTTTTAAAATACCTTTTGTGAGGATTGAAAAAGGCTACTCCTCTATTCTAAGTGTGTACCCATGGAAGAGGGAGACACATTGGCTATTAATTTGGTGTAAAACTGAACTTTAATTTTGGCCAAACACTACATTTTGAAATGCCTAACTTTTTCATATTTTTGAGTTGAACCATGATACTTGGCAAATCAATGTAACTCTGGATACGCTTTAAATGACAAATGACACATACTATGGAGACATCGGTATATGTCTGCTTGGAGGCATACTTCCGGGACACCCTGTACATAAAGGTTTGCCGCTAGATTTTAATTGGATATATACATAACTCTAATTCAAACAAATGAAATCCTATCTCGAGGGCTGATGTTAGAGTCATCCATCCTTCGGTACAAGTAAATATGACTTTGATGATTTAGTTGTATGAGTGTTTGTATTTACAAAAGGTCATTCTTTCTTCTAGAATGTAACATTTAATAGCGCATTATATGTAAAAAAGATCTTACACTGTATTAGATGTAAAAAGCTATGCTACGTTGCATTGACAGGAAAACAATGCAATGGTAAAGGTTGATCTAACAAGTGACAAGATCATTGATATATTTCCACTTGGAACAAAGGATTGGTCTGCTCTTAAACTTGATCCGAGTGATCGAGATGGAGGTGAGAAGCCACTTAAACATTATAAACATAACAAACATATAGTAGTTGGGTGGAAGAGAAAACTGTTAGTATAAATGTGGAAAATTAAAGAAATAAAAAATATAAATACAGAAATTGGAAACGTTTACGTGTGAGATCAAAGGTAAAACAGCTTTGTCTCATGGAATGAAATCGTCATTATTTCTTTTTAAATCTTAACGTCCACGCAAAATCAAATTATTTTTTCTTATCAAAAGGTATCAATCTAGCATCTTATCCAATAAGAGGTATCTACAACCCAGATTCTATCAAATTTATGAACATTAATGGCGAAGACTATATCATCACAGCCAACGAAGGAGATGAGAAAGAATATGAATTCTCAAATAGCGAGCCCTGGTCAGAATCGACAGAGGGTTCCAAATTAGGTAAGAGATGTAGTTGGAAAGCCGTTACGCCCTATCTGCTGGATATAAAATGGTAAGACTGATCATACAAAAGATTGTTTGCTGTGTGATAATTAACGCCATGCATTTTAAGTTAGAAATATATAATAGAAATAATGCATTATGTTACAAACTGTAGTTTGTTACAGATGCCTAACTCCAACTGCCGAACGCCGAACACCTTACACAAAAATGTTGGAGACTATAACAATATATCAGTACATTGGTGACATAATGATGACCGTCGTGCTCTGAAACAACAAAGACTAGTCATATTATAATAAAAAAAAAGTTCCCATTTTGCTGAATTCAATGCCATAGAACGAGACAAAAAGAACATTTGTGAAGAGGAATAAAGTTACAAAACCAATGAATCAAATCCCATTTTACAAATATGTTATTACATACTGAAACTTGACTCTTATGTATGTATTGCAGGTAGACTGCTCTCAAATGACGTGTCTGATGAGTTAAAATCTCTCCTAATGGACGAGACTAAACTTGGTAATTATAAGGATCATTTTATTAATGCTGAACACAAATTCACATAAACTACCCCATAGTCGTCTCAATTTTTATTTAACTTTATATCTATTTATAAGTACAGTACAGACTGATATATGGCAATAGATGGCATATGATTTAATAGGACAAAGAGATGGTTTTGTAATTCCGATTCTAAATAATTCCAATGTTTGTCATTTGCAATGATGTTAAACTCACATTGCACCACTAGACCTCGGTAGAGAATACAAGTCACAGTTTGAAAAACACCTCTAAGAAAGGAACCTGGGAATATGTGAAACCAAATTGAATACCAATTTTTGATTTTAAATGAAAAAGGGGGAATTTTCGAACCTTTCAAAGTATGGGAAAATAGGGTTTATATCCATGTCTATTGATTTTGAGAGTTCTCTGATGATTCAAAACATGAACGGAATTTGTGTTCACCCTCAAACCACACTCCTTTTACAGGGAGGATGCCCTTCAGTACGACTGAACAAGATTTATCACAAGATGGCGGGAAACTTTTGGACTTCCTCACTTATGGAGGGCGTAGTTTCTCTCTCTTCCGAGCTTCAGATATGTCCCAAGCATACGATAGTGGAGATAAATTCGAACAGGAAATCAAAAGATCGTTTCCAGATTATTTTAATGCTGCGATGAAAATTGGAATACCACAGATTGCGGGTTAGTTTACTGTTTATATGACGTGGTGCCTTTTTGAAAATTTTGAAGATAGCACAAATGTCCACTCCCTTTCCATTGTTCTTCCTTTAAGGGACCAGAGCCAGAGGGTATAGCTGCAGGGAGGATTGGCAACAAAACAGTAATATTTGTTACAATGGAGAGACCGGGAATGACGGCCATATTCTCCATCGGGAGCAGGGGCAGACTTAAACCAAAGTTCGAGAGCATTCACAATGGGGCTGGCTGCAATCCAACCAAGAAGGTGGAAGAACTATACAGAGACAGAGAAATTCAGTATGGTAGTGCAGAGACTGGAGTGTAAGTAAAATGTACAAAACATATAATGTTTTGCCCCCGGATGATCTATTTTTCAAGCGCTTGTACTTATAGCCCAAAGTACACCAAGGAGGCAAAGTCCCAAGTGACATTGAGTCTAGTGTAGTCCAAATAAGTCCCAACAAAACCCTCAAATGTGACTTCGTTTATTTGCCTCTTGAGGTCCTACCCCGGGTCCTACTAAGATCACCACGTGCAAAGTCAATTTAATTGAGCCCCGACCCCAAATTAGACTCATACAATATAATATCAAGAGAGTCGACCATTCTAGCTAATATTTATCTTTCCATCACGCGTGTCCATGAGAATCGAAAGGGTATTCGAAATACATGAAATATTATTCTTAAATTTCAGATTCATTCCAAAAACTGACAGTCCAAATGGTAAAGACCTTTTCATAGTCGTGGGAACATTTACCAGCACGGTATCTATCTATGAAGTCAAAAACAATAGGGGGAGAAAGAGGTATCGTCCGAGATACTGTCAATAAAAGGGAACAACTCGACAATAAACGAATTATAAAACAAATTCGACAATACAAAACAACAAAAGATATCGTAGATCACAATGAAATAGCAGTGCGCGTCACGCCATTTATTTTGTATGGACTTATCCACTCAGATATGTATAAACGGGGAAATTAAGTAGATATCAGCAAGAAATGAAACCTTTAGGATCACAAATGGCACTTACAAAGACACCCTAATGACAGAAAAACCTACGAAAACTAGTCCGCTTGAAACACTCAATGGTGTTTCATCATCAGTACATCTTTCAACTGTGTGTATTCTCATAAAACATGCTGAAACTCTAATGTCAACATCGGCATCCGCTCTCGATCTCCAGTCGTCCTCCTCGGGCAATGGCTTGTGGTGCTAAACAAAAATTTCAAAAAGGCTTTAGTTAAGCTTTAATGTCCTGTTTAAGAACCTCTATTCCAACTTTCAAAAATGGATTCTAGCAATACTATCCCACGTGAATCTACTTGTTGAGACTCAATCAACTTGAGTTCTCAGAAAATGAGGATATCAGCAAGGGTGCATTGAATGTACTTGGTGTTATACCTGATGGTATCCCGACGCTAAGTCCTTTTTTAAAATAATACGAGTGAAACCTGTATGAAACCTGTACGCAGGTTATATACAGGTTTGGTGTACTGTACTAAACCTGTATGAAACCTGTATCTAGGATATATACAGGTTTGGTACACACGGGTGAAACCTGCATGAAACCTGTATACAGGATATACGCAGGTTTGATACGTGCCGTATGAAACCTGTATGAAACCTGTAAGCAGGTTTCAAGGGTTTGATACACATTTTTTGCTGTGTAATACTCTTTATTTCTTATAAACCATAAATAAATTTACATATTAATCACGGCGTAATCGCCCAGAAAGGACGTTTCTACTGCCGCTTTAAGTGAATTTAAATTACAATATAATTACATTTTGTCATAGTTATAGTATTAGGAAGATATAGATTTAAATAGAATCTGTCTGTCTGTACCCCCGTTGGTGCCCTGAATTTGAATTACTGTTATCGCATGTTTAATTGTGTTTAATGAAATTTAAAACTGCCTTAAACATTTGGTATTTGTTTTCATTTGTCAGATCCTTGTCGCCAAAAAGTAGGAAATTTTCTTGTTTTTTAATGTTTTGTATTTTATTTGACGCATTGGTCAATGGTGTATGTCCCCATGTTGAGTCAATACACCCTTGCCAAAATCCTTATTTTATCAGAAGAACTCAAGTTGATTGAGTCTCAACAAGTAGATTCATGTGGGGTAGTATTGCTAGAATCCATTTTCAAAAGTAAGAATCGGGGTTCTTAAACAGGACATTGGGCTTGTTTTTCGGACCTTTTTGTTGGCACTATTCAGGGCTTGGTAAAGTGTGGGAGGGTCATTCAAAAATTGACTATCATTGTCAAACTTGTTTTTACATATGTTATAACAGAGTTTGTTTGTTTAGAATATATGTTTTTATCTTAAACTATAAATCAATACGTAGTTTTATATAGTCGTTAGAAAGTTACAAAGTCCACAGCGAGCTGTAAACTCGAGAAGTAACACATAAAATTACGACTCACAATCTTCACTTGTCTGTTAAGGTGAGTTATATTCTTGTTTTATAAAACTTTATATTACATATTGGAACTACTATAAACAATGTCTTGGGTACATCGAAAACCTGTAAAAGTGAAATTCAAATTCAAACATGTTGAAAATATGTTGAAAATTAAAGGCAGAATCTGCAATATACAGTTGACAAAATTGCAAGCAATCCATAATTACCAACTGCCCGTGCTCTATAACATTTCAATCATAGTGTCTCAAAACAATTTGTACTATATCTAAAATAATCAAAACGATCTATGACTACATTCTGCATTAAAAAGTATCATAACGGTTTGTATACATTTGAATTTTCCTGTGATAAATTAACTATAATATTTGACATGATCACAACTATCTGTACTACTGTATTTATTTGGCATTGTTTTTAAGATGCAGATACGTGTGCGTTCTTTAAAATGATAATTTTATATCGATATTTATATAAACACAATGTTAATATCTATAAGTTATCGAGAACACTGTTGTAAAAAGGATTTAGAAGAGGGAACAAAACCTTTATATACCGGTGTGAAAGAAATGATGGTCCCCCAGGGATTATGGTCCCCTTTCTTAACGGCCCTTACTGGCCCTGATTGCGTATACGATAATGAGTGAAAGAGTTGTATTTAGGTCACCATATAAATCAATGGAGAGGACCATAATTTGATAGGACCTCCTACCCTTTAACACCGGTATATCAAAACAATTTTGATAAATATCTACAAGGACAATTTTTTCGTTTTTTCTTAATCATTCTTTAATTGTAACAAAAATGGCTTAGCATAAAGGATTAGCATAAACAGGATCTTACATATAGCAACAAATTAAAAACGCATGCTTCTTCGTTAAATATAACGATATTTATCTGTTTAACGATTATAACATTGTAGATAAAATGTGCTTTAATAATTAATATATCTGATAACATTCTTCGTTTAACAATTATTCACCAAAGCAAGTGAATTTTTCACAAATCATAAATATTACCCTTTTTGAGAAATCCAACAATTACTGATTCTGTGCACATGTGTAGTGTATACAGGGTGTCCCAAAAATAACAGGCTACGCCAGATGTTATCATTTCGTTAATACTGCACTGATTCTGTTCAAATTTTCACGGAAGATACGTTTATCTATCGGGACTAGCATTGCATGTAAACAACAATGCCCTAGTTATGTTGCTGTTGAGTCAGTATCCATACTCAAACAAAATTTCACCGGGCATTGCGATTTCACGTTACCATAACATCCATAACTTTAACAGAAATTAAAACTTTGTACTAATCCCAATAGATACATGAAGTTATGTTATAAAAATTGGTAGGTGCAAAATTATCAAATGCCAGTTACAGTCCTGTTACTTTTGGAACATCGTGTACATGTACGAGGTGTCAGTTTTATTTCCAAAACTGCACATTTTTTAGTAATGCAGAAAAGAAAAAATGTTACCAAATCGTGACAGAAAGAATAAATTTGCTTCGTGTATCAAGAACAATAGAATCACACTGGAATAGCCTGACAACGGTAAAGTCAGATACCGTTGTCACAAATGGCGGACATAACCGTCGCTTCAACTGTTTAAACACTTGGTCCTCATTTCATGGGATTTTATCGTCGCTAATTCTGTGCATGTATTAAGCTGTTGTGATGATGTTTCATATGAAATCCCAATTTCGATCAAATTGGGTCGTGAATCGCCACAATATAGCGTCCTCGATATCGTCAATGACAACGGAATCTGAATTTGAGTAATTTAGAAAGACAACGGCATATGGTAATTACAGTGTCCGTTGTCCCGTATCTCATTTTGATCGGTTAAATTAAAGACTTTATTTTGATGGTAGAACATTATTAACTGTACAATGAGTATTAAGACATTTTGATTGATTGTTGTTCCAGAGGAATTTAGTCTAGGTGCTCCATTAAACATACAGTTCATGAAAATCTAATTGAAGCCACGGTTGTGTCCGCCATTTGTGACAACGGTATCTGACTCTATCGTTGTCAGGCTATTCCGGTGTGAGAATATAAATAACATAGATTATGAGATATGTGAAGATACGTTGATTACTGATTAGGTCGAAGAATTTACCGGCAAAACATGGCAACTATTATTGATCCTACTCATTTTAGCCTAAAATTAAATATGTACATTGCAGGATCACAATGATTCTAAAAACACATATTTAAGACATGAATGAATAAAGATTGATCAAACATCGAACAAATGAACAATTTTCACTGCATTTTACAAAAGTTACATAGCTAGCAAACACATCAATGAATTTTTGAAACAGGCAATTAACGATTAATAGTAGCGTCACACATAAAGCAAATAAGAATCTTTAATTATTTCTAGTTTTTTAATATTAACTACTTGTTTGCCGCTCCATTCAATTGTTATCTTATTATTTGACCTAACCACCTGTATGAGTTAAAGGAATTCGCCTGACTATTGTCATAAACTTGTAAATTAACATTGACCGTTGTTAAAAAGTAAGATAACGTTATCTTAAAGGAGGGACACAATATGTGTTCATGTGTAAGATATTGGTGTTTGACCAAAAATGAGGGTTGGACTGCAATTGATGTATATCTATGTCAAGTAAACAATTACTGTAAATTCCCTCTATTTATATTAAATCTAAAGGAACAATAAAAAGGAAGTTTGGGAAAATCATTGTTTTACAGTATCGATCGAATGTGGTCTTGGCTCAGGACCTTGCAAAATTCTGAATTATTTCCTGTTTGGATAAAATAATATCCCTATATTTTCATGAATAATTGCGATACATCAGAAATTAGCACGATCGAGATAAATGCAAAAAAAGTATACGAAATATGCTTTAACACAGCGATGCATATTGATGAACTGAAAAGAGGCGGTTGTACTTTGCTTACAAGGGAAGTAAGTTAATGTATTGTCTCTGGTCTGTCTACAATGTTGATGTACAGGGTAATACAAAAACATGTCACTCCCGGGATGTCACTCAGATCTGATTACTAGTACATTCGGAAATTAACAAATGCAACCTGATAATACCAACTAATAAGCCTGCAATACTGCGATATACGAATATATTAGAACCTGATATCGTATACTATTATATACTGACATCGCAGATATTAAATTGTTCTCCGACAATCTTAGTTCTAATATATTGCAGAATTATATATACAAAGCCAATCTGTACTGCGAAATTCAATATGTACATTGACTCATGTCAGCTGTGAGATCAGTAATATACATTCTATTATAACCATAACATGGATTAATACAAATGAAGTAGAGGGACTTGATCACACCATATATATAGAAATTGGTAAGTTAATCCCCGAGGATATGTTTCATTTTTGTAGGAACATAGTTTATTAAGATGGAGGGAGGCTTCTTATTCTGGAGTTTAACGCCGATTTAGTCACTCGAACAGTGCCACATATTTATGCAAAGAGGTTCTCCTTGGTCTCAATCCGTCTCGAAATAATATAGCGCTCTTATAATAAGATTTTCCAAAATAAGGTAGATAGATTAGAAAGGGAATCTCTGAATTAATATATTTTTCTACTGATGTGAAGCATAAGCCTGGGTCTGAAAATTATGGAATACATACATTAAGGTATACGTACTATGCTGTTATCCGTTCATGTAATAATAATGAATTCGAAAAATCATCTATGAATCATACAGTACGCTAGCTTTTTATCAGTGTAGGTTACATTGATTAATCATGTTAATTTATAATAAAAAGTGAAATTTTATTTATTACACCAATTAATGTCCAAGTTCAAAACATTTATAGCATTCGTGTTATCGTTAGCACTCTGGGATTTCAATGTCGCAGTTCAAATCATAGCACTCACTTTTAATCAGATTTTAAATTGTTGGCAAAAAATTAAAAATGTAAAACTCCCACATGTGACTTATAACAGATCTCAAAACAGAAGTGAAATATTTCAAGTACTTGCTTTTATAGATACCCCTGAGAAAAATATACACGACCACACTAGTCCCTATCAACATAACAATTCGAGAGATTTAAGTCAGTGACATTAAATTTTTCTTCTAGTTTTAAACGTATTTACCAAATTGTTTGTTACAAGTTAATTTAATAGTGTTAATTCATTAAATAAATCATTAAATTACATTGGCTTTTTACAATCGAAGTTTGATTTATTTTTTAACCTTTTGATAAGTGTGAGCACTCCTTGGATAGATGTTTACCCGAATTGTTCAATTTATAGCTACATTTTATTTTAGTTTCGATTTAAAAGAGCCAAAGATCAAATTGAACGTGTGGATCGAGTGTAGCTAAACCACAATTTATAATTCAAAGATCGTGATCTATAATTTAAATGCGTTTAAGTGCTTCCTGAAGAGAAAGCATAAACTCAAACTGAGGCCTAGAATTTTTTTTAATTACTGCGCTGCTACGGCGATGGAAATGTCTAAGAGCACGTCAAGATCGCCATACGCGCGGTGAAATTGTGGTGGAAACGTCAGATCAGACATGGTGCTGCGGTCTACATGGTCACCAATGATCAATGAATCACGGCATGTTTAATTCTGCGATCTGACATGGCACGCTGTGAGAACGCAGTGTGTATAATCGCACAGGTCGCGGCAAGAACGTGGCTTTTTTCAAAATTGGGGATATTTACTTGCGATGTGCTGACGTTTGCCCAACTTTGCCGACGACCTTGTGAATTTTCTGGTCACCGCATGGACGCAGTAGAGCAATAAGGACGCCAATGGGGCCTTAAATCAGAATTCTTTGAAATAATGTTCTATTTCCAAAACGTTTTTAGGACAACAAACGTGTTTTCAGAGTTAATCTCATCCGAAATCGTACACAAAATTCATTCGATATCGATAAAACTTCGATTTCAGCCAAACCAAAAAATTGGATTCAAAATATTTTGCCATGTGACCCAATGACGTTCCGATTGGAAAGAAAACTACGAATAAATCTTCAAACATTTCCGTAACTCAAAAGAAATGTGAAGAAAACGGCTTCGCTAAGGACGAGTCTAACTCAGATGGATACATGATATTCACCATCGATAAAACGAATTTAGTGGTTATTTACAGTGCATTTCCCCATACAATTAGTTTCACCCCCGCTTGAGTTTCCTCATTGTCTAAAGAAGTGCCAGTTTTAAAAATTAAGTCCGCACGCGGATGGATTGGAGTCAAAATATTGTTAATTGTGACAATTGTTTCTTGAACTTATTCTCAACTCGTCTTTCAGGCGATCATCCGAGAGAATTTGTATTGTAAAGTAGTTTCACTGTAAATGTTACACGAACACATCATCTGTTTTCACTAGTTAGATATTAGCTTGACAATCAACTTATTAGGCGTCTCCCATTTAGGATTACAATGTTAAGTACCCAGTCCGATTGAGGAAGTCTGAACATGTAGTTAACTACTACAACCAGTCTTAATCTATGAAATATGTTTCAGAGTCATTCGTGATAACCCAAACATAGAGGTCTAACTGGAGGAGGATGTGACCATAGCGAGGGTGACCTCAAAGGTCACACCTTGCAAGAAAATGATCATGGCGAGAAAAACCAAAACAAGAATTTGGAGGTTAGTGTTTGAGTTTGATTAATAGTTGTTTTGTAAGGCCGTAGTGTCAAAAAGAATTGGAAGGTATCAATAATAACAAAATGTCTCTCGAAACATCCATCACAATTAATAATAAAACGAAAGCACATTTTGTATTGTGCTGGACTTTTTAATTTAAATGTGTATTGAATTAATAATGTTCTCATGAACAGTAATCATCCCGCCAAGACATAATTCATTAGATGTCATAACTTACAAAATCAGAAAAACAAAACTATCCTGAACAAAATTGACCCACTGGGTATGGGTAAACTCTAGACAGTCTGCAAAAATAACATGGTAGACAGTATGCACTATTCTAAACTCATCCTATCTACCAAGGTTAATCGATACTAATAATATTACTTGGCTTCTTAAAAGTGAGAGACGGCTTGACATTGTACGATGTTGTACGAATGGGCTCTGCATACTTTTGACATTCTGACTCTTACGTTATACTGGATATTTATATCGTATTATCTCATTTGGAGGAGCTGTGTTGTTTACATAGATTAACGTCTCCATTAAGATTTATGATTTATCAAAATCAAATTATGATAGTAATAATCATTTTAAATAGGTTAATTCTCGACACCAGGGACTGCTCTATTTCGTCATCACAATTTTCATCATTTTCCAAACCTCATCCAAAGCCTTCCATTATATGTGGTATTCTTAATTTAGAAATGCCTTACCTAGAGAAAATAGGGAGCGTAAGAAATGCGATAACTCATTGGAGGATCTTTACCATTTTATTATGGGTTGTGATAATTATGTTGATATCAGAAAGATGATGATTGAAAATTTAATTAAAGAAAAATCCTGCATTTAAGAAACTTTCAAGCGAGGTTTTATATAACATTAATTTAGGCATGGAGTTCCCAATGGAAAAATGGGATAATGTCTTGGATTGTCTCAATTGTGTACCAAAGAAGATTTCTGGCTGATTTATCAATGTATCCATTGTTATTTTGGGTCTTAGTATGCTCATGTGTACATGTATAATTCATGACATTGTAATTGTTTAATTAGCATAAGGTATGGCGTAAGATTGTTTTAATTGTCAAAATATTCTTCAGTATTGGAGGCTAAATAAATATATGGCCAATGTTTGTTAAATATTGGACTTATCTGTTTTATATTTTGCTTCTCTGTTTTAGGAATTATGTTGCCGAAACTCTCATATGGGCTCTTATCTATACTGGCTGCTTATTTGTGTTTCGTCAACAAGCATCATTTGTTGTGGCCGGTACCTCAGTGAATAACAACGTAACAACAGCAGACACTATAAAGCCGAAAGCTATACCCATACAGGAAGGAGAATTACAACATGTACCTAAAGAAAAACTTGCAAAATTCACAAAAAAATTCAAGTCACTCGTGGAGGAAAATGAAAGGATTGTTGATGAGTATAAGTCTCTTCTGGGATACACATTGGATGTTGAAGTTGAGAAGGAACGAACAGATCGACGATTTGATTGGTTGGTTAAAAAGATTGTTCTTCTAAAGAAACAACATTTTGATGTCAAATCAAAACTTGATATGACAAGGAATGAAAGGAACAATTTACAAAAAGTTCTAAGACGTTCTAAACATTTAGAAAAACAGAACCCTGATCAAACTTTATTCCTAAGAGAAGCTGTTGCAGATTTGACAATAGAAAAAGTGAAAATGCGTCAGGATATTTCAAAATTGAGGAGAAGGTCATTGCAATTTCAGAAATTGCTACAGGAATCAACATCAAATTCTCGCACACATAATTTTTCAAATTCTGAGTCAAATGATTACATTTGGGGGTCTATGTTTCATCAGTTATCGATTTTGCTTTTTCTCATTGCAGTTAGTCATTGCTTTGCGAACTTAATTTCAATTCCATACTCTAAATCCAAAGAAATCCAAACTGACCCTATTTCTGAAATCGTACCACTTAACCTATGTAACGAATCATTCAATTTTAGTAGATTTACAAGCCCAATAACATCTGAAACAGTAGGTACACATATTGACACCTTGACTGATTCTGACAGAACGCGAGTACATTCCAAAACAATGCACACACCCCTTAACCAAGATGACCCAGACCATGACATGACAATAGCAGTTGACATGAACTCAAACGATGAGTACAACAAGAACCTCCAAGTCATCCCAATAGTTGAGCAGTGTGACTCCTCGTCTCAGACCGAATATCTAGACATGATGGTGATAAGTAGGGAGAATAAAGTGAAAATCGACAAGCTTCCACCAACTAAGTACTGGAAGGAATTGAGAGCGAACCAACGACAGCAGTGGAATATATGTCTCGTCAACGTGACCAACAACGACACATTTGTAAAAGATGCGTGTATAGAAACAGAAGTGACTTCAACCATTTCCTGTCAAACAGACGACGAGATGTCATCTAGCATTTTTGACAACTATATTCAAGAAAGATTCCTACATGACCTTACATTCAGCCCTCAAAAATGTCGACTGTATGATGATACAGGCACCGAGAAGCTAGAAGATATAGAATTCTGGAATGCTGAAGACGTCAAGTCAGTCTGGTCAGCTTCTTCCTCAAGTTCACGATCTTCTCGATCCAGATGTGCCAGTCTGAGCTCATTGACGTCCGGGGCTGATAGTTTTGAACAGATGTGTGGGACACCGGATAAACTAAGTCACAAATCGTTTAATGATAGCGCTATCGAGCTTTGCAGCCTAAGAAGTCAAACAAGTTCACCCGGGGAAGCACAGCCCAATAGTAATCAGACAGAAATAATGGAAGTGAGACGCAGACCAAAACAGAATAGACGAAGAAGTTCCCAGGATATCAACAACAGAGACAGTGCCATCAGTATGACGTTTACCGATTCTGAGTCGAATATAAGCGAGAGCTTAAATGATATGAATCAGGGCGTAAACTTTGATTTGGGAGATTCCTTGGTACTAAGCCCAAAACAGGCCGATAGAAACGAACTCAGAAGGGCCTATAGACAGAATCATACTGATGAAGAACGATTAAAGTCAAAGAAGGATTACAATGGAACTAACAAACACACATTTAAAGGAAACAAAAGTATAGTTTCCGAGATGGAACTATTGACGAGTTCCGATACTAGCACCCAGTACGAGAAGTTGGGGCAGATGTCAATATCTTCCCAATGTAGTGTTAAGTCGCGTGACAGTGAAACGCAATATGAACCCAAAGAAATGAAACCCATTACAAATAACTGCGGAATTCAGTGCTCCGGAGCAACGAGTGACGCAGACATAACAGAGGTCGGATCACAGCACGAAAAGTATTGGTTGAGTCAGGGAACACAATACGAGATGAATGATATACAGCACGACCTACCCGGGGTATCTATTAATAGAAACACACCGATAAGTAACTCCCCCAGATTGAACAAAGATGAGGTGACGAAGAACCATTCGCGAGAATCTAGTAACAGAGGGACCCAGAAAGACGCTGCTGTAGAAGAACAGACAAACGCAAAAGGGAACATAGAAGGTCTTTCTAACAGCATCATAGAAACATCTAACAGAACGCAAGAATATGAAGATCATGGAGATGGAAAGGATGATGTGGACAACACATCAAATGAAACGACACCTGGTAAATTGGCAAAACCTTTCTCGAGAGAAAATCTTCTCAGGGTTCTTGAGGAATCCTTCCCAGACGTTAAACATCCGAGATTCTTTTCCGATATTGTGGAATATGCCATGAATATATCTCCTAGATTCGTTGCTAAGAATATGAAGCAAGGTGAGAAGAAGGATATAGAACAAGAAGAGATATATGAAAACTTAATATTGGCAAAGACTGTTGAAGTGGGAATTCCTAACATGACTGAAACTGGTGTCCAAACGGATAAAATACCATGGCTTGCGAGCCAACCATTAATTGACTATCCTCCCATGAGTCAGATTATTAGAGTTGTTAGACCAGGACCTCCCATGGTATTTGAACGATGTAAACCATACAAACCGATTATATTCAGAAGATAGATACATACGGCTTTGACGATTTCTTACACACTTAACTATTTAACTTAGTAATAAGAAAATATTTTGGAAGATATATTTTTTAGTTCTAGATAATACTTTTTGAACAAAGCTTAAAATGGAACCTATCAGAGAAGCTAATATAAAAGTATGCTTGAGTTTTCTAATGATTGGACATCGTTTGTGATAGAAAATGGCACAACCACCCATTTAATCAAGAACTAAAAATACAACTACTTACGAAGTAATATTTACCTCTTATTTTATACCATGTTACTTCAGTTGTTAAAACAAATTGCATTTACAATTGGTTTCACAAGTGATAAGGCAAAGTTACTGTATATTATAACCTAAGGTGCTTAGAATATGTTGCTCAACAGGCAATTTGCAGAAAGATTTGGAGAGGAACATTTAACTTCAATGCTTATTGTCCTCTATGTTGTAGTTATCGACATTTTGCTCTCATTTCGTTGTTTTGATCTCTCATACACACCTATTTTGTTGCTCAATTATATATTTAGATGGTGTATCTACATTTGTAAATATGCATTTCATAATGAAATGAATCCTGAATCATACGCAATCTAGAAAAAGAAGAATGTCAAAAAGTGTTTCAAAACCTCTCTCTAAAACAGAGCAGCAAAGGGTGATGGTTTCTTTAGTATAGGTGACGGGCGAGTCGTATTATTGTATTGCCATGGTGATAGTAATCAACAATTCCCCTGCATGCATTTGACTCAATTTATACAAGACTGCTGTTCAAAAACTTGACAGTGCTTGAGAATGTGCATCACTTGTTTGGAAGATGTTATGCTTTCGGATTTTTCGGTGGAGGGTTGTTTTATTATAACATCTTCAGTTTGCAGCTGCTATAGAGTTTATTTGGAATCATTCGAGTGAGCAGTAAAGATCCTTTAAATGTTAACATTGAAATACAATCTACGTGAGTTAAGGAAACTGGGAAAAGGGATACTCTTATGAAATATACCAGATTCACTTTAAAAATATAGATATCTATCTTAATTTTTTGTATAGTCTGTTGCAAGAAATCATGACCAGAAAGTAATTGACTCATTCGCTCAACTTGAATTAATACTTGAAGCCATGCTCCGGACTGTATAACATATCATTTAAGGGTCTCTACTGTTTATTGGAAGTTGGTAGCTGTTTTAGTTATATAATTTATACCTCGTACACATTTTATTTTACTTTATGTATCTTAATTTGTGAACTAGATATATTTGTGGTTTTGGGCACATATTTAGAAATTGAAATGTACATAGGATATATGAAGTAAGTTATTGATGGGTAAATACATCTGTACTTCAACATATTCACTATAAGCTCATTCTAATAATGCTTTATAACTGATTGCAGTAATAGAAGAACAAGTAAACTTACAAATTAAGAAATGATGTTTATTCATTAAATGTTTTATGATTTAATTCAATTTATTGTACTATATACCTACATGTATTTTATTGTTGCTTGTGATTTGAATAAATATATCTCAATATCAAATAGAATAGAGAACAGATTGTTGCATTGAAGCATCAACTGAGTATTTATATATGTATTTCTAATAACACAAGTGCCAGAAGGGAAATAACAAAAGAGCATTACAAAGCACAAAATAGGTATGAATTAATGATTCTATATACTGATATAATAGTAAATATGTCCCTTTCAAGAAAAGGATTGAGAAAAACTAAGGCAATGATAAATGGTCAACATTTATTTGTATTACAAACCGAAGATTCAATTTCAAATTGATGACCATCTTTCATCACAAATTCTACAAGTGTCTCATTTTCGTTATTGGCATTATTGTATGGACACTCACCAAGTCTATAAGGTGGTAACATAGAAATACACACTCTCGTTCGATATCGCATTCCGACACCACACTGTACTGAACAATTTGTATAAGGACTGTATTCACTCCACACATTATCTTGCTCCATTGTGCTGTAAATCCAATCCAAAAATGGGCCCACATTTGTGTAAACTCCTGGGAACTTAGCAGCTCCGCACCGTACAGTGATCTGTCTGTTGTTTTCCGTAATTTCAGTCTCGCCAGAAGCTTTACTAACAATACCATACTGTGTCCATACTCCTTGTCTAAGACACATCAACGGACCACCAGAATCACCAGGACATGAATCTGTTCTTTCCTTTGATGCACAAAACATAGTATCTGTAATGACCGTATCTGATCGTGATCCTAACCTTTTTGGGCAAAATTTCCTTACTTCTAAATTCGCCTCTTTAAGAACATCGCTGAATGTGTTTGCATGTATGCTTCCATGTGTATTGCCCCAACCTATCACCTGGCATTCTTCATTTTCCACTCTTAATGCTAGATCATCAACATTTTCAGGTAGTTTAACAGGCTGTGTATCATCGTTGAACTCAAGCGGCGGGTCAACTACCAATATTGCTAAATCATCAACAGGCCCTCCTGTCGATCCGATGCTGTAGTTCGGATGTATAGTTATGTTTTCTGTGTGAATGGTTCTAAATTGTGTCCGCGATGGGTCAATATTAGATATGTTGTGTAAGGCAACAGAAAGATTAAATGTACAGTCGACTGGCCCTCCTCCTCTACATGGGCATAGCCCTTTGTTGAATTCGCATATACAATGGGCCGCAGTCAGGATATGCTTAGGAGATATGATTGATCCTCCACAATGATGACGACCGTCGACGTCAGAGAGCTGAGCAATCCAACGCCAATTGTATGGTAATGTTTCATTTCCACCAACAATGAAATGTCTCCTTGTTTCACTAAATTTCCTTTTGCCCATTTTTACTTCATTAGACTGGCAAGCATCGACTTCTGGTATAAGATCAATGCACGGTGCATCAACCTCACCCCCATTGAATGTTTCATCCCTTCTCCCTAGCTTAACGCCACCAGATGGGCACCATTCTCCCCTTTCTCCTACTTTTCCGTTGGTCTTAGCCCGTGAGATGCATTTGTGAAGACGGACTCGTTTCATCTGTATGCCAGAAACCTCGGATGTCGGGCACGGGGAAAATTCCGTGGATTCTGCAAAATAAAATGCTGGTTTCACATAGATTGCATATATATTTAAGAAAAAATTAAATTTTTGGAGAGTACCTTTGGGTCACCTTATAGATATACATACTTATATGGTTAATGTGTAGTATTATAAATGAATATCTGACCTTTCTGTCCTGTTTGACACGGCCCTGTACAGTTTACGACGTTTCCTTTTATACATTCACAATGTGTGCACCCGTCTGTTGTCCAACATGCTTTGCCTTTTACAGAAAACAGAAACAAGCATTTCAAGAAAATCTTATTGGGGTTCATAATATTTTACATCAAGAAATAATAAAGATTCATTCTATTTCGAAACAATATCCCGAGATTAAACTCAAATGGGTGTCTTTTTCATATCATTGTGAACTTTTATATGTCTAAAAAATGGAAGTAAATTGAATTAAATTGGAATAATGTAGTACCTTGCCTCAATTTCTTGTCTTTGCCATTGACGGAGCCAACAGTGCATTTTCTACACCGTGGCATATCCGTACAACGAAAGCCACCTGTCGAGTTACAGAAGCATCTATTGCACATATCCTTGGGATTTAACCACTGCCCGTCCTCGTCAACATGCACCTAAAAGACAGCTTTCTGAAGAGATGCGAGATAAAAATACCCAAAACGCATCAAAACACTTTTGCGATAAAGTCAGAGACATGTTTTATTATCATATTGCAACGATGTCCAAAATAATTTATTCCCAAAGGCCATTCACATCACATCATCCTACCCACTGTCGAAATCATTTCTAAAATTAACACTCGACACTGTAAGTAATCATACCGATCTACCGTACCTTATTGTCTTGATCCTTACATACAGTTTCCTTACAGCACACGGACCACCAATATTTCGGATGAACCACACATCGATACCCGTCCGGACATGTCCTTTTTGCTGGCCCGCGACAAGGGTATGGTATACCTTCTGGGTCGTTTAACGAATCACATTCTACTGCATCCATTTTGCAACATTGCTGAGACTTGCATTTATAGGTATTTGGACACTGTATTCGTAAATCCTTAGAGCATGTTGCTGTGGGGTGTTTATCTTGACCGTTGTTGCACTTTTCCGAAATCGTTGTATGGATCACCATAAATACGAACGCCCATGTACATAGCCGTTTTGTGGAAGTGATAATTGAGCATCGATACATTTTAACTTTCTATTACATGTATAACCCAGCTATCGTTTAATCATCGATATCATTAACTTTTAATGCATCATTGAATTGTGTCTTGTCGTTATTAAAATGTGGAAGTATTGTTTTATATATACTAGAACAGTAGTACCACGCTAGAATGATGTTCTGCGTTCATGCGCATATGTTTAACGGCTATATTTTGCAGGAATAATCATCATTAATTATTTAATAAGATATCACAGGTGTTTTGACATCCACTATGAAGATAAAAACCTTTAAAACCTCAATATACATGATCATGATATAATTGTTACTATTCATTTTTGATATGTATCTGTATTTAAAAAATGCTGTTATACCCATTGCGAAGGCTTCAGTTTTGATATTAAAAATGCTACAAAATTAACAGGACGAATGAAATTATGTGAGCCATACAAAAACAATGAATATTGATGCATGAATGAAATTAGATAAATAAAGCAATGATACTTGTGTTTAATCGTTTAAATAAGTGTAAAATGCAAAAACAACAAAGTGACCCGGTTTCTCAGTCTCAAACATGCCACACAGAATTGCAAATGATGTTATGGATATCATAATTTTATAATCATCATATCCCATTACCGATATTCTTAAGACATACTTATCTGCCCATTGGTCTAACCCTATGTCATAGCATTCTGAGCATCAGATGTAATCAATATCTTAAACGAGAGACAAGTTCGCTGTTTTGTCCAATTAACAAAAATATGTTTTCTTTCAAAATATAGATGTCACCCTACTCGATCCAATTCTGTTCGCGACAAGTGAAGGAATGCGCATCTAATGACTGCGTTTGGTAAGTTGGTCATTCACCACAGTCATTCACACAAACAAAATAAGGGCCTTTCAATAACGTGCAAAAATAAGTATTCAACCCTTAAATAACATTTGTATTTTACAATGAATATCCAAGGCAAGAATCCATACGTCAGTTCATCATCCGCGTTATAATTTTGGTGAGTTTGTCAATACATTACAACTAAACAAAATACCCTAAAATGTAAAAAACGTATAGATACTTTCTAGTACAATACAAGATGAGCATTCAGACAAAATGTCCATAAGAATGTTAAGTTACGGGTGGAACGAAAACATTTTTGATGGTGTAGCTATTTTTCAAAAATGTTTTTCTTTTCTGATCCTAGGTTCCACCAGTACCTTAAATGGTCAACATCCATCGACAAAACTGCCACCATGATAAATAAAGCACAATAACTTCCATTTGATATGTGTTTTTGCCTGTATTTTGATTGTGATGCTTTTCTGCCATGTTATTTTTGAAAAAAAATCACGACTAAAACTCTGAATTATGAGAGGCCACGGTTTACTGGAAACAAACTTATTATCGGAAGGAAGTCGGAAGGAAAAATATTGCATTTAAAATATCAACGTTTTTTCCATTTAATGTTGCATCATGGTCCTTTTATATGTTTTTAGTTTTGATTGACGCCCAAAAGTGGTTTTGAATGTAAAATGCTCAACCCTATATAATATATTGAACTAGTTCACGAGGTTAACAGTTCAATTATTTACTTTATGCGCGTAGAGCTTCATTCAATAGAGTAAAGTAGTTGAAAGCCGGTTGTAAGCTTCAGTTCACATAGAAAATCAAATAGAACCATGTAAAACTTATACTGAGCCAACACTCAGCCATTGGCCTTCACAGTCCCACATTCACACACATGTGGTAAACTTGGACAAACTTTTGACTGGATACGAATATTAGCTGGTAACCAAAAGAAGGATACTCACAAAGGTAAGTTCTTGACAGTTAACTGCTAATTAACAATTTGATGCGTTGGGATGTCGTTGATAAAACTTCATCAAATAACAAACGCCTGTGATACTGGGTGTTGTACTTTTATGATTCATTCATTGAATTGAATGTAATTGATTTTGCTGGTACATTCCGATCATTTTTTTGTAAGATGTACAATAACAATGGGTAATGTTGGTACCAAGTTTAGTACGAAGGTATGCATAAATCAAAAGGTATCAACTTAAGTCCACAGGACGACACCTGTTTATTGTAATCATGTCCTGAGGTCGACCCGAAATCTTTTTGATCAGTCCATAAAAAATTCAACTGCATTCAGATTGTGTCGTTTTGAATAGATTACTAAAAAGATTATTATAAGGTCTATATTCTCATATACTTATATTCATGATATATTTACGTTTGAATGTGTGCTTGTATGTTTAACAAAAATAGCTGAATTTAAATTGGGGCAAGTTTTTAGTGGTGTGTTTGACTTAAACTTATCAATGTTTACTCCCGTGTTTGCCCTGGTTGTACAAGGGAGTGTAACCAATCAATCCTAAAATGTCTGATTTTATAAAGTTTTATATATCTGGACTAACTAGATCTAGGCTACTTGAATGACGTTTCAGTTTTGCAATTAAGGATAATTACTACAAATTTAATTAAGGTGTAAATATAAAAGTGAGGAGAACGAGGGGGGTCAATAGTATAACATGAAATTATGATATTCATCAAAGTGTTGGCTCACGTTTGTGTCGAAGGGGCCCCTACGCCCAACAGCAAACACACTTTCCACCGTACCCATAACCGAGAAGTCACATGGACAGTTTGCTCCCAAAACCATTGGCCCCAAATTTAAATGATAGATAACTCAAATCCCCGACTCTAGAAGTTAGAAGTTGGTATTCATCTTAACTCCAACCAAGAGAGAGAATAGCCCAGAATTCAAAGACTAGCCTGTCTTCAATATTAATCATAAATCCAGAGGTAACATGAATACAGGTTTGTCTTACGAATCCTGTGTTATTTCCCATTCTTACTGCAACTTATCACCCAAAGAGCAATGGTATAGCTGAGATCCAAACCATTTCCTTAACATTGACATTGAACCTTCAAAATCGATTAGGTTTAGAAGAAATGATTTATGTTACATCTGACTTGAATAACAGCAGGAAAATTAGGGACAGCACCGAAAATACAAAAGAAATCCCACATCAAATAAAAGTACTTTTGGATTATGCTATATATAGATTGCATATTGACAATAATTCATAATAACTCCCTCATCATCTCCGTTACTTGCTGATCATTAAGCAGTTCACTTGAAATAATGATGATGCTTTGCATTGAGTAGCGCTGAACCGTGATGAGACGTGCCCTGTCATGGCGTGAACCAACCATCCTCGTACCCACCATGTAATCGAGATCGTAAGAGTGCATGAACATCATCTGCTACATGAATACCACGTGTATTATCACTGCAAATAACCTTGAACTCGTCTAATTCCAAAAAGTATATATAATGCTTTCATAATACAACGCCATCATATCTTACTGAAAAGCTAATACTATATTTAGATTCACATGGCTAGTGCAAACTGATTTCACTAAAATAAGAAATCAATTCATTACTGGAGAATAGTAGTTAAATGGTGAAATACATTTATATTCAGCACCTAACTTTTGTTTATTTCAGAAAGTTAGTTAACTGCGCAGTAATCTCGTGACTTCCTTTTAGTTTGAAAACATCAGCCATGTCGAGGCCATGCTCCAAAATTTACATGATGTGACATTACAGAAAAGCATCGAAATACAAGAGGTTAAACAGTAGTCAGTCAAAGCACAGACAATCCAATCTAAACAAAACTTTTGTTGATGTTGTAATAATTACATATTTTATTGGTTGCATCCAAGATGGAGTATATCGAAATTCCTTAACACGCAACGAGAATAAAGTTTACAATGGAAATTTACAATTACAAATTGCGTGGTTTTGACTTCTATTTCCACCATTGAAATACTTTTCAATGGTTCCTAATGTTGCATTGTGTGTTTTCTTCACAAATCGTTTCCTCATTGAAAAATAACAATTTAAAACATGTTACAATGAATTGCAAAGAATTTGAAAAATTGGACCATAGGTAGGGTTTATTCTATCAAACATGCTGTATTTAGCCTTTTATGAGGGATTTATTTTGAGATTTTGTGTTTGAAAAGGTAATACTCTTTTTTATGCGACTATATAATCATGTTGAGTAAATAATATATCTCGAACGATGTCAATAGTTGGCCTGTTTGATCAGCAAAATAGGATGTGGTATATACTTATTGTATGTTAACGACCAGAGGGCGTAGGCTTAAAAAAACTATAAAATTGAGATATTTGAGAAATTGAGAAATAAAATTGTCAACATAGCTATTTGATTGTGCATAGAGAGGAGAGGTGCCCACTTCGAGCAGTTTTGAAAGGCACTGTAGTTTTGGCCTGTATTCGCGAATGCAATTTTCGGCTGACGGCTAGCGGATTAACCTACTATGTTATGAGCATCTCATTTAAATATGAATATTTCCTGCTACCATCACATTCATATTAAATGAGTTGGTCATAAAATAAAAGATTAATCCGGTAGCCGACAGCCGAAAGCTGCATTCGCGAATACAAACCTAGACTCAATAGGCAGATTAGAATCAAACTTTCACAACAAAAGTTACATTGGATGAACTACATAATTCAAGGCAGAATATGCATGATTGATCCCGGCCGATTGAGTATTGTGTTCAAAATTGTATTCAATTGAAAATTGTATTCAATTTTGAACACAATACTCAATCGGCCGGGCAGCGGTGCTGAAAATCGGAGCATATGTGACCACGGCATAAGTTGCATACGTTGTATAGTTGGTTACATCTTCAACTGTTGTTTTGGGGATATATAATTATATTTCAAATGGATAATGTATTCAGGCATGTGCGTAATTTGCCATACGTATATTTTTATGACGACTGTTGGTATATGTGATAAAATCAGACAGATTTGATCAGAATTACGTGACATTAAACCGAGTATAATTATAGTTTAGATTTGAGTGTACATGTGTATATGTTGAAGTATTTTTTTGTTCACTGGACCAGAATGAAAGATGTGTCATACGTATTTGCGTTTGTCAATATCTAAAATCAAGATTGCATCTTACCAGTTTTGTAACACAACCAGTCTAAATATAACACATACGTCTTCAAGATGCTCGCCTTGGATTGTCAGAAGACCCTTCTTTTCATATTTCAAATTTGCTTTTAAGTTTACAACTTTGGGGAAAATCAAAAACGAGTTTTTACATCACTCTTTCATATCTTGAACCACGGAATCTCTTCAATGAGAGGCGGAACCTCGTACATTAGATGCATCAAACGGTATGAAATCTTCATCGTGAGAAGCAATATTTAGTTGCAGCCAATAAAACCCAATGAACCTGAATTTGGAAATAAAAGATACATTGTATCATACATGATATTGAAATTGTACTGATATAAATTTCAAAGCAATGTGTCGTTAAGTAGTGCCGGTAAGGCTTGCATAAGACTGCAGGGACTCCATTGTCAGGCATTCCACTTGACTGTTATTAAAAGTCTAAATTCAATAATGGCCGTTTATTCAATGGATTCAATGGATTTTATAAATCCTTTTGAACGCATATTTGCTGGTTTACTGTATTATACACGTACTTTAAGTCATTCTCCAAGACAGGAGTTGTACACATACCATTGGAATGCAGTCTTTGAATAACACAGTGAATTACCGAACGTTAAGTATCGTCGACATGCATACTTCAGGGCAACGTGTAAACAAATGGCAGGAAACGAATGGCAGTTCGTAGATAATCATCTAATTCCTCACACTTCTGAGAGTCACCATAGTTTCATTTTTCGAGCCCAATGTCATCGTCTTCATTTGTCAATCCCTCTCGGAGTACTTGATAAAGAAGTTGATTTGTTCGTTATCTTCACTTTAATCCTGTATAACCTCATGTACATATTATTTAATGCACTTTTTGTATCATGTAGATTAGCATCAATACGTTTCTATGATTCTAAAGCCGTATATAATTACAATTGCAAAACAAGTTGTTTCAAATAATCAAAAATGATTTCCAGGGAAATACGTCCAGGAAAATACAAAACGATACAAATCTGTCATGTAAATGTTTAGATGTCATTAGTACGTTTTGGGATTATTAAAGCCCTACAGTGTAATATGATTGCCTCGGACGATCCCTCGATTAATGTAAAGATAGAAAATTTGATTGAAAGATTTCAACAAATTTAGGATGAAATTCGAGGAAGTAAAATACGGACGTTAAACAGAATTTCGAACTACAGTAGCCTAAGTTCTTCTGAATAGTTCTCAACTTAACCTCAAGAATTCCCATGCTCTATCACGTATGTTTCAATCAAGTTTTTAAGAGTGTATTCAAATTTTAGTAACCTTATTTGAAAGAAGTCCACCTTATTACTTTTTATCGTCCCGAATTCACTAGGTCTCTTCTAGAGTTGTTATAAACAATCTAAATCATCTTTGACACTGAGTGTGTGACATTTACGCTTATGTGTACATTTATAACGGTGCCTTTTTCTATGTTGGCCCATGGCCTATTGTTTTTATGTTATTTTGAAATGTTTCTATTCATATATTTGACATTTATCTTCAGGACATGACGAATAAAAAATGTAATAGACTCGTGTTTGTCATTTGTACCTGGTGGGAATATAAATAAGGTTTTATGATCAAAATATATTGTCATTTTCATATTTCAATTAAGTTTGCATTGTTGTCACTGTCCTTCAATAATAGAATGTCAAGGGTAATAGTTAAAGTGGCGTCCTGATCACTTTACTTTTGATTGTTCTCTGAATGCAAGAAGATGTCTTAAAGTTTAGGGGTTTCATTTTTCTGTTTAACTGGGAATAGTCCATTTTGATACTCCACGCATGTTTTGCAACTGCATGATCTCTCACTATTATAATATCATTTACTATTCAGGAAGGTTTCGAATTCATAGTAAATTATTATTTTTTACATACATGTCCTGAGAAAAGTGTCGTTTTACAATTTCCCTAAATGGGGTAACCAATGGAACATGTTCGTTTAGTCATATGTCGTACCTTGGTACCTTATTATAAGTTATACCAAAATTAAAAAATTAAACAAAATCGAGACTATTTAACATATTTTGTGGCAATGCGCACAACTGTATTTACGGATCAACATGTTTACGTTCTCCCAATCATGTTTATATACCCTAACATTCCACCAGCTAGACGAACTACTGCACCACTCCCTGACTATAAAAAATGAGTTTATAGTATTACGAGATACTGATACCATCTCAACGATCTCAAATGCAACTTGAGTGGCATTAATTTTATTGAAGTTTAAATGTGAAATGAATGTTATCATAAAATGTTCTGATTTTCCGACAATAATTTTGTTTTTAGATAATTCATTATTGACATCTGAAACGTTTTGATCATTATTTATGTTGTAATGTCACTATATGTAGCATCGTTATTGGTATTCTTCAGAATTTATAAAGAAATAAACAAAGCCTAGTGATAATTAGATTCAGGTCAGATCCGAGAAGTATCTCTAATTTGTACGTGGAGTTTGCCTCTTTCGAAGGATAAAACATATATTCATGTCGTCAGTTCCCATACATCAATCAAAGACATGTAGTTTTTATATGACCCCAATTCATTATGAATATATACAGGTGCGGTAACATATGTTCCAAGACCGGCTCGTAATAATACACCTCATAGAGTATAGATACAATTATGTATATTACTTTTTTATGAATTAATTAATATACTCTGATATAGCTTCATTAAGGAATCGTACGTTTACAATTTGTGTCTTGCGACGAGGAGAGAAATGTGCTCCAAACCTAAAGCACATAGTAAGGACTCGGAGGTGAGTCACTTTCAATGGAATTTAAATCGAACAAAAAATTGACACAATTCAATCAAATGCAAATGAAACTATATATGAGAGAGTAGAAAATATGCCTGGGGCAATGACGATGTTTAAGGTGTTAATGTTCATGTTTGAATCTGACCTCGTTAAAGACCTTTAGAAGTTTAAATATAAGTGTTAAATATGTTAAGTGGCTTTGGAGCGTCGATGTTGTTGAATTATTTGTACAGGATAGTTCTTTTTCGAACAGCGAAATCAATGACATAAAGTATACTCGGATGTAGACTAAATGAATTATCAAAGAATTGCGAAATCAGAAATTATACTTGCTGGATGATGATTACATAGATAAACATAAATGAAGTCGTTCTTTAAAGGGGCAACACAGATTAGCGAAAAATTTGAGGTGTTCAAAATTTGGCAAGATGTAATAAAATTTAAACCAAGGTGTTCAAAATTTGGATCAAGGTGTTCAGATTTGGACCAAGGTGTCCACATTTTGAGGGGAGGTGTTCAACATTTCCAAGTCACTCATGTTAGGTGTTCCCAAGTTGACAGGCCTGGATTATGGTCACAATATTTTTGTTCATAACATTCCAAACCATGCCTATTTTTAAAGGTCCAACATGTTCTGAGTTAACTTCATAACAATGCTTTGAATGTTATAATATTAGGCGACAATGTTTTGAACGTCCATTTTCCAGAAGAACCCTGCTTTACCGAACCCGGGTTTCCAGGATTCGCCTCGCATACGTTCGACTGTTTCTCCATTTTTTATCATCACTCAATAGCTTCCATATTCCGTCTGATATATCATTCTACATTTTGGACAACAAAATTAACATTGATTTGAAAGAATAGAGTTACATTCATTTTCAAAAGATTGATTCCAACATATAATTGTCACTTTAAATCTAAGAAGGAAATCTCACGTTAACACCATGAATGGGATGTGTTTTAAAACATGAGAACACTACTGGGGTACTCAACGTGAGTAGCAGGAGCATGATAGTTGAGATTGTAAATCAAACAAACAAGGGTTTTTGGACATATTGAAATAAAGTCAATGGGTCTTGATATTCAAGTGCTCTTATTAGAAGTGATAAATCAACGGTCGATGAAAATTTTGATATGGTAAAAATACCTCTATAGTCAAGAGTATTCTATTTTAAATATTAGAGTGGCCAGGGTCTCTCCGGAAATACATAGTTGTCATTGATCATAAGTGTACAGCCACTTCAGCAAACGATATATTCTTGAGATTGGAGGAACCTGGCAATACACCAAAATGTAATAACTTTGTTGTCACAAAAGATTTCAATACTCAATCAAGAAGCCATTCTTCAGAGGCATTGCTAATGGATTTGTAGCTATATATTAAAGGGACCTTACCTTATCTGAATGACTTTTACATCACAGGATTTGAAAGACTTTTCGTTTTCAAGAATACAAGCGTGGCCAAGATTTCGACAATTGTTACCAAAAAATCTTAATATTTTCTACTTCCAGGACAGGATATGACGTAATTGACCTACTTTAAGATGGGCAATTCACAGCCCAGTTACTTCACCCAGAAGCAGTACGCTGAGCATATACAACAGCAAAATCGTAATACCACACTCCAAAAGGATGCAAATAAGTCTCCAGAACCGGTAAAGGAACCTCCGCCCAGACCTTCCCAACCTCCCAAGTACGTATACGTTGCTAAATAACACTTTTTTCTGTACATCAAACATCAAAAAGAAAAAACTGTAGCATATCCTTTATTTAAATGATTGACATTCATGAATCAATCAAAAATCTTAAAAACAGATGTTGAATTGTCATCCTGTAAAGATTATTATGATAATTTTGTTACACACTTGTCAAGTAGTGTCTGTCATATCATGATCATGAAAACAACATGCAATAGTAGGCAAAGCAACCATCTTCAGGCCAAGAGTCCAAACGGAATATATATACAACCAATCCTTTGCCTCGGCCTACTCACGTTATCCTAATGACAATCATATTTTTCCAGGTTACCGGCTATTAAACGGACACCAAGTTATGCCAGGCCGGAGAATCGCGTCTTGCCGAGGGCTCGGCCGGATGACAAGAAAAACTTGAGACCCGTCAGTCGATCAAACTCCAACAGTGACGACTCAGCACATCTTAAAGTGAAATACTCACAGAATTCAGATGCTGAGAACTCGCTGGAGACATCCAGATTGAGTAAATCTCTAGACGTACTCAATGCCTCAGTGGATAGCAACCAGAACAATGTATTTACCAGTGATAATGACACAACGCTTACTCGAAAGAAAAAGGCGCCACAAGCCCCGGGGAATAACCTCGACAAGAGTGGTAATAAAAAACGACGGGCACCTAATACACCAGGTTCTAAGAACATGGGACGTCATTTGAGCGAGGAGAGCCTTGGGCCAGCGTTTTCCACGCACAGTGTAGAGGCACAAGTTCACATGTTGCCTAGTGAACTAGAACCACCCGTGGATTACACCGTCGCAAACAGAAAGAAATCCGAACGTGTTTCTGTTACAACTCCACCTAAAATGGTCACCAGTACGGGTACCGACACCCGAGACCGGCCAAAGACCTCAGTTGGCGTAGTGACTCCTACTATTAATACCAGTGTTATAGCTGAGAGTGTCCCCCCGCGTGTTAAGTCATCCAATAGTATTGCAATACAGACAGTGGCGTCCTCTGGGACGCAAACAGATTTGGACAGTGACGTCAGGACGGATGATGATGACTGTTTCCCTCCGGGTTCTGGAAATACATCTGGTTTGGAAGATTCAATGAACACAAATAATCTTAAAAAGCTTCAACATAGCATTGCAATAGAAACCACTGATACAATACGTATCCCCATCCCTCCACCACCAGCTCCCCCTATTGGTGAACTCTTATCAAACATTGAAAAACATGAGAAATCTGAATCCGAGAGTAGCGTCTTGGACCAGGCTCCAAAACTGGATAACGAATTAAAACAACAAATTGTTCAATCAGCGAGAAGATTATCCCAGAACCCAGACAGGAAGTTTACCGTATCCAAAAAGAAGACGAAACATCAAGTTTTCAAAGATGAACTAAAAAATGCTGTTAGTGATCGGGATGACCGAACTGCCAAAAATGAATTCAGACTTAAACCCATCTCCCCTAAACCTCTGAAACTCACAGAAGAACAAAAACTTGTCGAGAGCCTCAATGAAGCTGTGCAGAAACGCAAACACACTGATAGCAATCTGAATCTTGCTACTGACGATGAAAGTGACGATGACGTTTATAGCGTTGAAACTGTAACGCCGGACGCCAGTAGTAGTATCCCGACAACGACCGGAGATGATAGCTCACCTAGGGAGAGTCAATCTAAAGTTCCTGGCAACTTGGAACTCGAAACTGGAGAGATAGAAACAAAATCGAAAACTAAGAAGAGAAATAACAGGGAAATGCCAGGAAACTGGAAAACTTCACAAAAGAAACGCCATAGTCGGAATATGGACGCATGGGCACCAGCGGAAGATTTGGGTGTTGATGATGAAATGGAACATCAGAGGAACGTTGAAGAGGACTCGGATGTAGCAGCGTTTTATCAGCATCACGTCAAGCGTAAAAGTAAGAAAACATGGAAAGATTCTAAAAGTAAAAGAGGTAGTTCTCCCAACGGTGACCACAGAAAGTTTGACAGCATAAGAAAGATAAAGAAATCATTCAAAAATGCAATAGGGTCGATTGGAAAAGCAGCCTCAAGAAATTCAAAAAGACAATCCGTTCAAGGCACATTTGATAATGAGGCCGGAGTATCACAACAGAACTGGTTCATGGCACGAAGCGATCCAGATGATACAGATAGTGGAAACACCTCCAGCAATCACCATCACCAACGAACGAGTGACAGAAGAAATCGCGGCCGGCAAGGTCGTAGCTCAATCGCGCAGTCCAATGGTACAGTGTACTACGCTGATGACGGTCGTATCGTTCTTGTACCTGATGGGAAAGAACTTATGTATACAAAGGACGGGAGAGCCGTGAAAATTAATAGAAGTGAAAGAAGAAACAGATCGCCAACTTCTAGGTCAAACCGAGCAGCAGAAGCAGAACGCACGCGCGATATGTCAAGGCAATATGAGCAAGAAATGGACGAGAGGTACCGCAGGATTCGCAATTCTGAAAAGCAAAAACAAGAAGACTTCTACTGGAAAGCTATCCATGTGAAAACATCCCGACCAAGTGCGTCGAGGTCTCCAGAGAGAAGCGCTTTCAGGGTGAATAGAGAGCAGTCGAGATACAAAGAACCTACAAGTGATGTAAAACATATTTCTACCAGTGAGATTAATGGCTTCTTGGCGGAGCGAATGGAGGATGATGGAAGGAAGAGAAGTGTTGTGAAAGGTGAGATTTTCAAAAATGACTGCATCTAGTATGATCTGGCAAAGTGATATGCTGTATAATGTCGGAAGATACTCTTTAATTTTGATAGAATTTCTGAAATATTTTTGAAAGTCAAAGAAAGTGGACATTGTAAATTATGTACAAGGAAATTCACACTTGGCATTTTAAGTTTTATGTTTATGTTTTGAGTAACAGATTTTTTTAAACTCCACGAGACCAATATTCTCCCAGTTTCAGATTCTCTATATGTACATCCAATTTATCTAGGTAAACACGGTGCACAATACTCCAGTGAAGAAGATGAGAAAACCAACTTTCGATCAATCGTCGGTCCTGGTTACCACATCCATTCTCCCAGTACCATAACAACCAATCAGTCTCCCGTCGGCTATCCCGGCTCCAGAGAAACCCCAGATACAGGTGCCGGAGCAGCATCGGCGGCGGGAGCAGGAGCCGCCGAGCCATCGTCCCCTGTCGGTGCATCTGGACCGTCGAGGAAGGAATTGGTACTGGGACCTATAGGATATAAACCTGTACACTTCAACCCAAATGCAAGGACAACCTCTGTCTTCAAAGAGCTCAAAAATGAGTAAGTGTGTTATAATTACTAGTTTGGCATTCCGGTCGTTACACCTTGGATAAGTTTAACTTGAATGTACGTACAAGTCGTACATGTAAATCAAGAGCCCAACGGGGCCTCCATATTTTTGGCATTGGATATAACATTTCGCCCTTATGTACTCTGTGTGATTGTTGCGACCAGTGTGTGGCAGTCTCATGAAGTGATCACATGTAGTCTATATGACTCAGTGGGAATCTTCAGGTAAAATAACATTGAGACAACGGACTTCCCAGTGCAAAAATTGATAGTCCCAATTAGTCACATCGGACTCCATTGGAGCTTTGACAAATTGGACCAGTAATTTTCAAATCTTATTGAAATAGAACACCGTGTTCTCATTTTTATTGCTTAAAATTTATAAATGTAATTCTTATTTATAGTTTCAATGCCTCGTTGATGTCAAAGGGCATTGCAACCGAAATTATTCAGAGTCATTTAAATATAAAGGCTTAGCCTAATGTATGTTTAATACATATTAAATGTACGAGGCGTGATCGAGAATTATCCACAATCAAGACCTAATATGATGATTTATATCCCAGATGGGAAATGAAACAATGGTTTAATTCATCGTCAATGTTTATTTCAGAGTGGAGAAGAAACCTTCAGAAGAGGATATCTCAGTACTGTGACATACGATTGTAAAAGGGTAGGTATCCAACACAACAAGATTTTTATTAACCAAGCATTGAAAAGATGCAATTAGATGCTTCATTGTGTTATAAAGATATGAAGTAAAACGATCAACAGTTTAATAAGATAGAAGCGTGGGTGTTGGTAGGGGTAGAATACATGGAAATGTACTGCCAAATTCACTTAATTTCTTGATCTAACAAGTAATTTCATTTGAATCAACTTTGTGGAGCACCTTGCATTTCTAGTGATACTACGAGTAATGTCATTGCATTTGGATCTTAATGGTACAGTGTCAGGCCCGTTAGCCAGGGGCTCCGACCCCTCCCCCTTGCCAAAAAATTGTTCAGAATCATGCAGTTTTTCACCATTCTGAGCACTTTTTAAGTGATTTGGGCCATTTTTGGACCTAAATTGCCACAAGTGAACTCCCCTGGAATTTTTCAAAAAGTGAACCCCCTTGGGAAATCCTGACTACGGGCCTGAGTGTACATGTGCATTAATTAGGCATAATCGTCTTTTCTTTTGTTATTACAGTTGCCATAGAGATTATACCACGATGTGGACCTTACTGAAGATGGAATAGTGCAGTGATAGTAATTTCGACAATTTCGCATTTGATGGAACTTCATATGTCTCTACGAATGACGCTGATTTGAAATATTGTGTTATTTTGTAATATTATTTTTCTATATATTTAATAGTAAATATAACTAGTAAAGCGTATACTTATATAGTGGAATATATAGAGGGTGTATCAGTGAACAGTAGGACGGCACATTTCAGTTGCATAAGACTGCTTTGGTGTTGGTGCACATACTAGCGATATTTCTTCATTATTCGATGGATATAACATTATTTTATATTATATTGACCTTGACGTAGCTACTGGGATTAAGTATGTTTGTCCCATCCCTGGTGAAATTATATATTTATAATCACAATACCTCTATTTTAAGTATATTGTACAGTATATTTACATATTACAAGGTGGAATCATGCCCAACAAAGATCCGAAAGTTTAACCTGGCTTCTTGCATCAGTGGACATATTTTTGATAACTGGCTGATTTCTGGATTGTGAAAATGGCAGTGATAATGAGTATATTCGTGAGGTATAAGACTGAAAATGCAACCTGAGCCGAGGGGGAGAAATAAGTACAAGATAATCTTCCAAGAGTATGAATCTCTGACCAATTCGTTCAGTGCAATTGTGCTGCCTTCTATCTTGCAGTAGAGTAATTTACCGTGATTTTAGTTGAAAAATTCACTCTACCTGCTTCATGTGTCAGAAATTGTGAGAAATTTAGTAAATAAAGTGATTCAAACTCTTAATTTCAATAGAATGACGTCATTTCCAAGTGATGGTAATATCCACAGGAATAGTTAAATAAAGAATCTTTGGGAGTGGTAATAGCCAAGAAGGCACTGAACGGATTGCTACTGAGTTATGGACAATGAATTCAGAACAGAGCGTACACTGCAAGTGCAATATATATACTTGACTATAAAATAGAGGATTACCCAATAAATGTTGAGATTGCTGTTATGATTTTTGGAGAATTTTGTATTCTACAATGTCTCAAAGTTTAAAGTGACTTTCTACAATACAATAAAAACATAAACATGATATATGCATTTGTTATTTTTGTATGTGCTAAAATATTGAACTTCAGCTGAAGTCCAGCTGAGTTTACCTATTCTAGTTCTTGCAAAGTGTTAAAGAGCTGATCATGAGTTTCTGGCTTCCGAAAATAACAGCTTTTCTGCTAATGAGAAATGACTATGTGTTGAACGCTGGCCAGTGGAAATGACAGAATTACATCTTTAAAAATAGCCGAATAATTCGAAGTCATTTTTGTATATCTGCCTTAACGCATGCATTAGTTCTGTTGGGATTTGTTGGAGAGCTTTCTCCTTTGCGTATTTAGGTAAATTCAATAAATGTGTTTTATTGCTTGTAATCATATGTTTGAGAATCAAATCTGTTACCCCCGTTTCATTAAAATTCTCATTTGACAAAGAGACTAGTTCTTCAAGGGAATTTCCAGTTAGGGGTTCAATATAGCCGTGTTGGACAAAACTCTCCACAATTCGTTTTGGCAATTCATGTTCGGGTAAACAGCCCTTATTCGCCATGTTTTTACGATCAAATGCATCTTTTACTTCATGTTTGATAAGAAATTCCCGTATTTTAAGCGATTCCATCACCGGTAAATCTATCCGATCTCGTGCTCCTATTTTACACAAAATGTCGTGGAGATCATCTTGGAATGTTTCCAATTTACCGATGATGTCATAGCGTATCATACACGGGTCGCAATGCTTGTGAATTGGTTCCCAGTGTTTGCTGATGTTGTTGACGCCCCTATGTTTTAGATCATCAATTACAAAATGAAGAAATTCCTCCAATGTCATATCATGTCCACATGTCAGGGAAGAATCTTTGCGAATTTTTCGTAAGAAATGAACTCCATATTTCCAATATTCGGGATAGATGGAAACAAATTTGTCTTGGTATGCAGAAAACAGTCTACTAAAAGGATTTCTTGTAAACATTACTTTCACATAGTTTTTTAATACTTTTTGCCTTTCGAGATTATTAAATTCACTCAAGGTTTTGAAATGTTTGTTCCGTTTATTCATATGTGAACTTTCCACCAAAGGGTTTTTACTTTCCGTAAAATTATTTTCCAAAATTTTCATTACATTTTTCAAAAATGATGATCCAGCTTTTGGAACAATACAAAGTAAAAGTTGATAGTCATCATTCACAAGGACATTATTGTACGGGTTATTGGGTGTATTACTTGTATTAGGATCTGCATCATCATTTCGATCCAAACATTTTTCACGCAGAATATTTATCCTTGTCGCCATTTTATCATCCCGTGTTTTCAAACATGAATCGTGAATCCCTGTTCCCAATGGTGATTTTTGGAACCCGATGGGAGGCCAAGAAATATTTGCTTTTGAGAATTGTTGAAGTGACCTCTCGTGTTCCAGTTTTGAATCCATCATCTCTTGAATTGATGAGAAGCCTCTATTTCTGTTATTTTCCACGTTGTTGTTTTCTGCATTTTTGAGCTTAGGTCTCAAAATATACATTTTTAGATCCCAAAATATGTTTGTTACTAAAACTCCAAAGATACATAGGAAGTAGAAAGGCATGTAAAATTTTAGTATTTCCATATTAGCTCTAACTGTAAATTCTTTATGAAAAATAATATAAAAGTAATATAGTAAATGGCTGTTGGTTGCAACACATTGCATCATAGTGATAAATTATGTATAAGCGACTGTAAACTATGAATAATGAACCTGATAACGTTTTATGGACTTGTTATGGATGTTAGTATGGATTATCATATTAGCATCAAATATGATATATTAACTATAAATGTTAGTATTTGTTATGTATCTGGTTTCAGTACTGGTCATTAAGACATGTAAGATATCTGATACCCTTAACTGAGATTACCATGCTTATAGCAGACACTTGTAAGTCTGGCTTCCTACTAGAAACACATTAACTATGTAGTTCTTATATTATGTTTGATGTATAATAAAGTCTTGATACAAAACACAACATGATGTCAGATGTGGTCTCACATGAATAAGTAGATCAGAGACAATAACAATGGCAAGTGGATACTCAAAGATAGTGAAGGAATTAGACTTTTATGGCCCTAATCTCTCAGAAGATTGGAAGAGATGGAGAGAACTTATTGAATTAATGTTTGATTCTCCTGATGCCACAAAATGGAAAGAGCAAGAGAAAGCCGCTCAAATTCTCCTTCTCATCGGCGAGAAAGGAAGGGACATTTGCAGATCGTGGATTGCCACTGGGGTACTTTCGGAATCACAAAAGAAGGAGTCTAAAACCCTCCTTGATAAATTTGAGGAATATTGTACACCCAAGAAAAACAGGTCGATCCAGAGGAAAATGTTCTATGAATGCTACCAGTCGAAGGATGAGTCTATTGACGAGTTTGTTACAAAACTTAGACTTATTGGCAGAGACTGTAAATTCCCCGATCTTGACGAGATGATCGCCGACATGATTTTGACACATTGCCATTCAACACAAGTCCAAGAGAAGCTACTAAGATACGAGGAGGACCTCACATTAGACCATGCTCTAAAGATAGCACGCTTATACGAGCAGAGTAACGTCCATAAGAACTCTCTAAATTCCCGCACAGAAAGTGGACATGAGGAAGTCTGTATTGTAAAGAAGTCGCAGTCACAAAGGTGTGACAACTGTGGACTGATACATAGAGGAGGCACGTGTCCTGCGGCTAATGAGCAGTGTAACGGATGTTTAAAATTCGGGCATTTTAAAAGATGTTGCCGTAGTGGGAAATCTAGTGAAAAGGATTCTAGACAACAGAGGCAAGGCAAATCTGGAAAACGTAGAAAACCCCGAAAAGTGAACCAGGTGGAGGAATCAGTATCTTCAGAAGATGAAGTGTACTTGGGATCTGTAACCACTGAAATCCCAGACACCCAGACATCAAAGATAGCCCAGATTCCCGCCAAAACCCCAGATATACCCAGCTCAAAATCCTGGATTATACAACTAAAAACAGGTGGGCACACCCTTACTGCTAAGGTGGACACAGGTGCCCAGGCCAATGTGATCTCACATGCACTGTTCAAGAGGTTAAGACACCCCCCTATGAAAGCTTCTACCACAAGGCTATTTACCTACAACAGGCAGCCCCTGGACGTCATGGGTGAATGTGATATGCCTTGTAACTTTGAAGGGACAAACTACAAAGTGAAATTCATAGTAATTAAGGAGAAAGCTGACACTTTAATTAGTCTGCAATCAGCTATTCTCTTTGGCTTAGTATCCAGAAGGAACATTTCTACAGTTGGCTCTGACAGCACACTGACCACAGACCAGTTGGTGTCGAATTACAGCTATTTATTTGAAGGCCTAGGCTGTCTGCCTAGCAAAGTGCACATTACCCTTGAAGAAAATGTCACGCCTGTAGTACACCCCCCTTACAAGGTAGCTGTTCATCAGAGAGACAAATTGAAAACTGAAATAGAGCGAATGCAAAAACAAGGAGTAATTGCCAAAGTGGATGAGCCCACTGATTGGGTGAATAATATAGTTTTGGTTGAGAAGAGCGACAAATCTCTTAGGATATGCCTTGATCCTGCAAACCTCAACAAAGTTATTAAAAGGGAACCGTACCCTACTGCCACAACAGAAGAGATCAGCACAAGATTGAAAGGTGCTACGAGGTTTACCAAATTGGATGCTACAACCTCATTTTGGCAACTTGAGCTTGATCACGAGAGTTCGTTGCTTACTTGCTTCAACACACCCTTTGGACGATATCGATTTACACGTCTGCCATATGGACTAAACATATCTACTGAAAAGTTCCAGATGGAAGTGTGTAAAGTTCTAGAAGGAATAGATGGCGTTGAAGTCCAAGTGGATGATATATTGATTTCTGGCAAAGATGAAGAACAGCTTAAGCATCGAATGGAAGCAGTGTTCCAAAGAGCAAGTGAGAACAACCTCAAGTTTAACAGGAAGAAATGCCAGTTTAATGTGCCATCAGTCACATATGTAGGACATACATGGTCGAGAGATGGACTGAGTATCCCGGATGATCGGATAAAAGCGATAGTTGAGATGAAAACCCCTACAGATAAACAATCACTGAGTCGATTCCTTGGCATGGTGAATTATGTTGCCAAGTTCGTACCACGCTTATCAGAGCTAAATGCTCCCTTGCGAGAACTACTGAAAGAGGATATTATTTTCGAATGGAATAAGCCACAGATAGAAGCGTATGAGCAGCTGAAAAAGCTTATAACTACAGCGCCAGTTCTCAAGTTTTATGACCCCAATAAGCCATCAGTGCTGAATGTAGACTCTTCGAAAGATGGTCTTGGAGCTGTCCTACTACAGGATGATATGCCTGTATGCTACGCGTCAAAATCGCTAACCCCTGCCCAACAAAACTACTCCCAAATAGAGAAAGAGATGACGAGTATATGTTTTGGAGCAACTAAGTTTCACCAATACCTCTATGGTAAGCCCTTCGTCGTGGAAACTGATCACAAGCCCCTGGAAGTGATCGCAAAGAAAGCTCTAAATAAAGCCCCAGCTCGATTACAAAGAATGCTTTTGCAAATGCAAAAGTACGATGTCACAATCAAGTGGAAACCTGGAAAAGACATGGTTATATCAGACACTCTCAGCAGAGCATGTGTAGACAGTGACACAGAAAGCTCGAAAATTATTGCTTCTATCATGAACGACATTGATCAACAAGCAGATGGATTACTTCAAGCTTTACCCATGTCTAAACCAAAACAGCAAGAGCACAGGAACGCGACCTCGAATGACCCTGTACTGCAACGCATTATGGAATATTGCAGAATTGGATGGCCTGAAAAGACTGATGTACATGAATCAGTCATGCCATATTACACCTTTCATGATGAACTCAGTACAGTTGATGGTCTCGTGTTCAAAGGCCTGAAACTGGTAATTCCCACATCAATGAGAGACGAAGTAAAGTCGCTTATCCATGAAAACCATATGGGAATCGTGAAAACAAAATCCATAGCAAGAGAGACACTCTTTTGGCCCAACATGAATTCCCAGATCGAGGATATGATAAAAACCTGTGACATTTGCAAAACCCACAGAAATGCCAATCAAAGAGAACCTATGATTCCACATAAGGTTCCTTTGCGCCCCTGGGAAAAGATAGGTGTTGACCTATTCTCACATAATAACAAGGATTACCTAATTGGAGTAGACTACTACAGCAAGTACCCTGAGCTGTACTCACTCACCAGCACCAAGGCAAAACCCATCATAAATTGCCTAAAAGCCTCGTTCAGCAGAAATGGTATTCCCCAAACAGTATTCAGTGACAATGGTCCACCATTTCAATCATCAGAATATGTAAAATTCAGCGAAGACTACAACTTCGACATTGCTACATCGAGCCCGAATCTAGCAAATAGCAATGGCCAAATTGAAAGGACAATACAGACTGTAAAAAATATTATCAGAAAATCAGATGATATTTTCACAGCCATGCTGAATTTGAGAAACACCCCAATTGATTCAAAGATCAACAAATCCCCAGCAGAATTACTTATGGGTAGAAAACTGCGATCTAAAATTCCTACCAGTGGTGTTCTACTGAATCCCCAAAGCCCAGATCCCAACGTTCGCACAAAACTTCAGCAGAAAAAGCAGATGGAGAAGAGAAAGTATGACCTCCGCGCTCGTCCCCTTGCCCCTCTTCAACCTAATACCCCTGTCAAAGTCCGTGAGAAAAGGAACAATAAATACATCTGGAGAAATGCAACAGTGACTGAGAAACTAGACTCGCCCAGATCATATCTAGTTGAAACCCCAGATGGAGGACAATTTAGAAGGAATAGGAGACATTTAATTCCAACATAAAATGTGTGAAGTGACTATCATTAGTATAGTGTAAACCCAAGACTGGAAGTGAAATGGAAATATCCATATTTGCAATGAAGGTCAAGGATAGACCAAATTAGCATATCAAAATAAACATTGTAGTAAGACTGTAGTAAACTCTTAGGTCAAGAACCTCATTAGCATGTAGTACAAACATATGCACTGGACATTTTATCAATGAATACTAAAGTTCATGAGACAGGTCAGATAGTTCAAATTACATGGCTAGTAAAGTTTAAATTAGCTCCCTTACAAAATATTCAGAATTAGTAATGATCATATTTCAATGAGATGACTGTTAAAAGTTTAACTTGTTTTTAAACTAAAAGAAGGGAGATGTTATGTATCTGGTTTCAGTACTGGTCATTAAGACATGTAAGATATCTGATACCCTTAACTGAGATTACCATGCTTATAGCAGACACTTGTAAGTCTGGCTTCCTACTAGAAACACATTAACTATGTAGTTCTTATATTATGTTTGATGTATAATAAAGTCTTGATACAAAACACAACAGTATTGATTATAGTATTAGCTTAAAATATAATATATAT